ACTGCTTCAGATCTTTCCCACAACAAGATTGAAGACAGTGGTGCACGAGCGGTTGGTAAGTTACTGAATGGTCGATGTAATCTCACCACGCTAAACCTTTGTGACAACAAAATACGATCGATTGGTGCTGCCGCCATAGGACACGCCCTGGGGAAAAATACCACGCTAACTTGCATTAATCTCAGACTAAACAGGTAAATAATACTCATTTGATTTTAGTTAACTGAATTTGAGCAATGAAGCCTACACTTAGGTCCTGTTGTTTTGGTTGAAGCAGCTAAGTCCTTATTGGAACACTTCACCAACCGTTTTTGGTTGAAACGCGGTAACTCCTAGGAATAATCATTTCTAGTTTCCCCCGCGGCCAGTTTTTATCATGTAGTGCGATTGCTACTACTTAATCACTATTTTCCACCGATTTGCACGATTATGAATTCTTCTGCTTCTTGGATGTTTGGGTTATTGAAAGAGTACGAGTTACTTACCATTTTGTTTTTGTCAATAAGGAGAGTCACGGCCAGGAAGGGCTCTCAATTTCGGTTGATCACTCTACATAACCTACCTTATATGTACCTAACCTTTATAGAAGGTTTTTTTTATTGTAACTTTGGAGTTTTAGTGTGGGTGGGATAGACGACGTAGACTAAACTTACCAGAAAATACAACCATTTCAAATATTTCTGGACATTCAGAGCGGAAATGATGCGCTTTGTTTGGGTGGATGTTGGTCCATCTGTTCTGCCTCACTCTAGCTCTAAACTTCCACTTAAGCACTCAGTACTGACTTTTGAGAAAAGACTTTTTAGCAGCGGCCTACACTACTTACTGCATCCGATGTATTGCACTGCACGCTTCCTCGCTTCACTCATAAAACAGACAATAATGTCTCTGTTTTTCTTAATATATCTTTGTTCAGTGTACATCTCCGTGATAATTATCATACGATCCTATATTGCATCCGGTGTATTGCACCGCACGCTTCCTCGCCTCACACATAAAACGGACAATAGTGTCTCCGTTTTTCTTTATATATCTTTGTTTAGTGCGCATCTTAGTGATAGTTGTAATACGATCCTATATTGCCGCCTCATTTATTTCTCATTTTGTAATCCATTCGTATAATCGTTCTTCATTCTTCCTTCCTATTCGGGCGCCTGTCAGTTGGCCAACACTTTTCTATTAAAAAGAAAATAAATCTTTATTGCTTAATCGTTTGTGATTTACATTTTGTTTTTCATTTGAGAACTTTCTTGCTAAAAATTTTATGACACTGGACTTAAAGTTCCTCTTTGCACGTGGTTGTTGTTTTTTCCCCAGATTGGGAGATGATGGTGGTCAAGCAATTTGTCGCTCTCTGTTTAAAAACAACACCCTCACGCATGTTCATCTTGGAAGTAACGATCTTGGTGAACCAACAGCGGCTATTTTGTCACAGGTATGCAAAAACATAATTAAGAAAAGTTCCGTTACTGCGCTTTTAGATTGATTGTCATAAAATCCGCTTGCGTAGAATCAAAGCGAAAGGTACATGTGATCGCAACAACCTATTAGAACAGCCCTTTCCTCTGATTGGCTATTATGATTCCTAGATTAAGCCAATAAAACCTTCAAATGATTGCACGCCGCGGGCCTCGACATCGAGAAAAGGGGTCTAAAGAGGTTGCAATTGGTTTATTTTTGCATTTGATTTGCTGAAAAGGAGGCGCAAGATTTGTCAACCAATCACAGAAATCAGTAACTTCAAACCAATGCAATCAATGACCCCTTTCTACACGTTAAAAGGTGGGTTTTGTTACACACAACCGTTATGAAACTTAACCCTTAACTCCCATGATTGACCAAGACAGAATTTCTCCTTACAATATCGATACAATATCAAGCAGACAAGTGATGAGAATAAAAAAATATATCATGTAGGGGATAATTAGTTGATTCAATACCAAATTCTCCAAACTAACATCATACGAACCATATGGCAGACAGGAGGGAGAATTACTAATGAGATCTTGGGAGTTAAAGGGTTAACCCTGGGAGAAGAGCTTTGGGAAACTTTCGAGATTCTCTTTCAGTTCCTTTTCAGCTCTTGAGGGATAAAGCCTTGTTGTTCAGGATTGAGTAATCAAATTTTCCATGGCTAGTACATGTTTATTTTCTCTTCTGGACCTTAAAGACACTAACTCGCATCTTTTTGTACAGGATTTTGCATTGTAGTATGACTATCTTTATCATGAATTACTTCACAAGGTTTTAGCTGCTAACAAGACTTTGGTGGATATTAACTTGTCGTGCAACACAATAGGACCGGTTAGTTTTTTATTTTGCTTTCTAGTTTCAATACTATATTTCATAAGTGAGGAATAATCACCAGGATTTTCTTTGATGACACAAATTCAAGTATAATGATATGAAATGTTTGTGGTACCATTTCGTATGATATAAATGACTGTGCCGATAGAATCTGAGAGACAAATTATGACCGAATTTCAGTTGGCTTGAAACAATTTTTTTGAGTCACCTACCGACTATGTTCAAAGCGCTGAAAACCAACTTTCACTCTTTGCAGTCGAACCAATTTTACACATGTGTTTACCAAATGAAAGAAGTTTGAAATTGTGGGCGTGGCATGGCAATCACTGTTCTTATACAATTTTATTTTTTTTCTTACTCGATAAGCTGGAAACCACTCCGCTTCGCGTCGTGGTTTCCTGCGCTTATCTCGTGTTCTCCCAACCTCCGCATGTTTACATCAGGCTATGTAAACACGGAAACCATTTTACATTTCTTCAATAAAATTTATTTTGTCAGGATGGAGGAAAGTCATTACAAGAAGGAATGGAGGAAAATACCACGATACAAACCATGGACCTAAGACTAACAGAAGTAGGACAAGAAAATGAGTACTGTATAAACCAATTACTAAAAAGAAACAGAGAAGAAAAATACAGACAAAGTCAGACAAGTTAATTTAGTTCTTGGAGAACAAATGGAGTTTGATTCGCCGAATACGTTTAAAATTGTGTACGGTCACATGAAGTGCTCACAATACCTTTAGATATTTATCTCTCAAACGAAAAGCTCAGAAACTACATATCAATCTTAGTTTCATTGTTTTTTTTTGTTTTTTTTTTCATTCGGAAACTCTAAGGTTTTATTTGAAGGGGTACCTTTTGTAAAATACCTGTTTAAATAATATTAATGTTGTAGTATGTCAGATTGACACAGTGCTTCTTTCATGGCCTAAGACGCTTAATTATTGTAAATAAATAATTTTTTATCATATCCGATTTGGAGTTGTTGTGGAGAAAAACGCACAAATCGCAGTACACTACACCTTCCTTGTTGGTAAATTTCTGTTACATGGCGTTGAGCGAAATCAATATGACAAGGGCTAAAGGTTATGAATATCTCTTTTCTAAATCCTCTTGTATGTTCATCTAAGAATATTTCAGTCACTTTCATAACTTACTGAATCAATCATCTCTGGATGTTAAGTATCCGACATCAAACACTTAACGAATAGACTCCACGTTGCTGTGCGTCTGTTTAGTTATAGATCACGTCAAAATATGGTAAGAATGAAAACGTGCCTTTTTTTATAATGATTTTTGTCGTTTAATTTATTGTCAAAATTTTGCAATAACTATACACAGGAAAAAGCTTTTTCAAAAGCTCGTGTTAAAACCGTCTAAAATTTGTTTATCATAGAGTGCTTTCTTTTCCAATTGTGATATTTAAAAACTGAGAATTTAAGATGGAGTCGGCTGAAAAAATGAATTTTCCTTCGCATGGTATGGAACTACAATTTGATGTCGAACCGTCAAAATCTCGAGTTCCTTTCCACTTTCTAAACCCCGTTTGTTTCATCAAATCGGACGGGTAACCGGTACTCATTTGTGTTAGGTAATGCATTTTATCCAATAGGATGGGATGGTTCAGTCATGTTTTAGGCACAGAATATTACCCCATTCTCCAACAAACAAAATCAACTTTTTAGTTTAACTAGGGACCGATCATTACTTATCACGGGGGTATGGGGTCGGGGGATTTTAGTTGTGCCACAATAAAATTTACCTGATCCCTCCCTAAGGCTATGTATGTAGTTTTCCAATGACCCCCCTTCCCCCCCCCCCCCCCCGCTTTAAACTCTGTTGGCGGTGGCTGATCCTACGTTCCCAATAAAAACCATTTGATTCCCCAACAATCCTCTGGACCCCCCCCTCCCCCCCCCCCCCCCCACAGGCAACTTAGAATGACCGGCCCCCTTTCACTTGTCTCGAAAAGCGGAAAAGCCGCCTGCTTCATACATCAACGGTTCACTCATGCATATAATAAGCGTCAGGGTTCTTTTTTTATAACAACAGTAAAGAGGTTATTTAGAAAACTGCTAGATGCCAGATGTATTCTAGTTATGCATTCTTGTTGCTAGTTAAGTTGCTCTCTGAAACTGTATCTACAGTTAAAACATGGTGTATAGGTAATTTACAACAACACTATTTCATGTGTGATTGGTAAACACATTCTTCCAGTGTACCTTGTTGATCAAATTTTCACTGATGTATATAATGAGGTGTATGGATTTTAGAGAAAAACATCGGCGAGTGTAACTTAGGTGATGTAAAGTGCCAGGAGCCCATTACTCATGGGCTCCTGAAAGTTCTGAATTGTATGTGAAATGTTATTAAATGCAGATGTTACAGGCAAATTAATTAAAATCTCATTTACTGAAATTTACGGCACGTTGACTCCTGTTAAGCATGTTTCTCACTGAATTTCAAAAATCCACATCCATATCATTGAAATTAAACATATTGATTTTCTCATTAGCTGAAAATGAGGCTCAATCGCAACATTACGTAAAATAGTAATAGTTTTTTTCCGTGTGATGTGTTGTACTTTTTTTATTGCTTACAAAATCCTCACGAGACCTGGAATTAGCCAATCAGGTTATATGTAAATGACGTATTATTCTAAACCCGGTTGTACAGAAATTTGCATACGCTGCACACATACGCGTCCTCCCACTTAACTGATCATTTACGTTTCGCAACTTGCTGAAGACGATTTTCGATTTCGCTGGGTAAAGACACTGAATATCAAAAATGGCTCAAGGTGGAATGGTTCTTGTCAAATACCTATTGTTTATCTTCAACTTTATCTTCTGGGTAAGCTGAAGCTGTCTTGTTCTTTCCCTGATGACTCTAGTAGTCCTGCTCAAATCCATATAGATGGTCCTAATGTCAAACAAGTAGTTTTTCATTACGCATAAATTTAGCTTCACTTGTGATTTGCTCAAAGTTTTTATCGCGTCAAAGTGTTAGTTTAACTTTCTGTGAGAGTTGTCGTTTGTTTCTTTTCTCAACTTTGTGTGAAGCTTTCACAATCGTTCATGGTGATACGAACCACTGCTCTTTCGTTCGAAGAAATGTTGCTTTCGTTTTCGGCCATCGATTATGGTGAGCTTCATTTGAATATTTTGTGGGAGGAACCGTTGGAAGACAGATATCTTTAGTAAATTAATGGTAGAGCTGCTTTCATCTGGTTCACAGGGTGACCCAAAAGAGATGCGGGTGTCCATCTTTCCGTCCTTCATGTCAAGCTGAACTTAATAGGCGGAGATAAATAATTTCTATTTTGGCTCGTAAATTACTACAATCTCGGTCGGTATACCACTTAACTGATGTATCGTTAATTTTCTAATACTCGTTCTCAATTTGTGGCTGAAAGAAATTTGTAAAAGTCTTGTCAGCGAATTATTGCGAGAAATTCACTGAATTATTGATGTAGAATTTTATACAGAAGAGATAGAAAGAGAGAGGGAAATAATGGCTAGGTGGCGGTGGAGGGTGTGAATGATTCAGGAATCTTCTTTGATCTATTTACAACTGGCGCAATGTTGCTGGCGCGTGTAATAAATTGTACTGGACTTTGATCGCGTTATCTTCCTGAAATTAAAACCATTGGCGTAAGTTTATCTGTCGGACTAAATGTTAAATTCTCATTTACAGTATACCAGGGATATTTAGTTAGGAATTTTTTAGTATACTACCAATTCAAGTTTGATAGTTTGTATGTTGTGCACCCCATACAAGAGATGAATTATTTTCCATGCCATCGAGTCATTTCGTAGTTATTGATTTGTGAAACTGTAGTATTTAAATACCCAAGACGCTTTAAATCCAGGCGTCAGAAGTTTTAATTTTCAATATAAATTCCTCTTAAAACAATGCCCCCAAGTGTTCATGTTTTGTTGACTGCCAAATTTTTTTGGAGTCTCCCAGTTTATCTACATAACAGCCTCTCTTCTTATCTGTTTTTAACACATCGGTTTTCTTTCATTAATGGTTTCCACACAAAATGTTTAATAGTTTTTGTAAACCCATTGAGTAGAATTATGCAGGTTTATTACTAATAAAAATATTTGAAGGAGAGAACTTTTAAAATGAAATTCTGAAGCCAACCTCAAGTGAGCCTTATGTTTACTGTTGGTTTGATGTAAACTTTTGTCACACATAGCTGTGAATAAAATACTAACATTACATCTGAAAGTTATTGCTGAGAGTCCAAAATTTGTGAGGATAGACTCCCCTAAAGGAGCTAGATAGAAATTGTATTTTCCAATACCTCAATTTTGCCTTTCCTGGATCATACAGTACATTTACTCATGACTGAATAAGAGCAGATCAGAAAAAAATATTGTACCAGTCATAATTATTTGATTTAAACACATAATTTGTGTTTTTTTTCTCTGCTTTGATAAATATGTTTCCCACAAGGAGGAGTTTTCTTTATTATCAAAGGAGGAAAGTTTCTTTCTTGTACCCCAAGTGACTAGCTATAGAACTTGGTGTTGGATTACTGACAGGATCTTTTGTTGCCATGGTGTTTTCAGCAGACTTATTGAAATTTTAAACCATCCTTTTAATATTTTGCTCTTGGACCCGTAGAAGTGTGCATTTTTAACCAAGTTATTCATGCACTCCTAACAGTGTTTCTAACTGTAATTTATAATATCTAGGGAAAGTTGCTTCAGACATTGTACATTGCAGTAAGTGTCTTGCAGATTGCCACTTCTCCAACCCTTTTATTTTTAATATCTGACAAGCGATTCTCCCTTCCAGTAATTGTGTATTTCCCTGTGAAGGAAATTTGGTTTTATATCACTGACACTCCTGATCAGTTTGTTTATCCCCATCATTCTCCTGTCTGCTAAATGTGTTGAAATTGTGACAAGAGTTAAATGTTCATCTTTGGGGTTTTTAAGAAGTGAGCCATTTATATTTTGGGGAAGTTGAAGTTAGAAACTGTTGCTGGACAACAGATGTCTCTGTTTGGTAAAATCAAGCATTATGATTGAAGCAGCTAGCTGAAGCCTTCAGAGTATGCGGAGAAGAATGCCACCTGGCCTAAATCTCCTGGTGTCTTGAAAAATTTCCTAATTTATCTTCTGTTTCATGGTGGAAGAACAACAAAATTCATGTATACATTTCATTACAGCAGAATTTAATTGCTCATTTAAATTTACTTATGGAGACTTTCCCAGCCATTTAAAAGTTAACAGAGAGAAACCTGGGTAGACTAATTGTTGTGGGAGTTGTGGAAAGGCAAAAAATTCACAATTACTGCTTGATAGTAGATCAAGATGGTGTGCTGAAGTGTTACTGTTATCCTTGAATAGAGAAAGGATGTTTACCTTTCCTATGAACCAATCAGATTGCAGAATTTGTTACTGAGTCCTACAGGAAAAAATACCCTTTGTTTTTTTCTAAATCTGATTCAAGTTTGCATTTTTGCAGATCTCTGGCATTTGTTTGATTGCCGTTGGTGCTTGGATCAAGGCAAAATACAGAGACTTCATTCAGCTAAGTGACAGTAGTAGTGCAGCGTCTGGTGCAGTGTTTCTCATCATCATCGGTGTCATTGTTGCAATTGTTGGCTTTTTGGGATGTTGTGGTGCATGGAAGGAGAATTACTGCATGGTCACTACGGTATTGGCTCAAATTTCTCCTAACAAATTATATTTTTGTCAACTCTTATTACTGTATTTAACAAGATATAATTGTGCACACCCATGAATAATACTCACCTCTAGTAGAGACCAAATTTTTATTGTAAAAAGGTTCTTACAACCAAAAAAACAAATCAAATCTTTGAACAATTATTTGTATGTCAGTATTATTTGTATTATAGTAGTTATTGGCTACATGTAGTACGACACAAAATGATTCAGTCAAGTTTTAACTAAAGTTTACTTCATGATCTTTACTCCAGTCATGGGCTAACATTCAAAAAGGCAGCTTCTGATTTTTTTCCCATTAGTGTTATGGATAGTTTCAATGACTGTAAGCTAAGGAGTCAGTGAGTACAAAGGCCCTGAAAATATCTATTACAGTTTAGGTCCCCCCCCCCCCAAAAAAAAAAGGGAGTTCCTCTCTTGCAACTTTTGTCCCTCCTCCTTTCTAGCTCTTCCATGAAATATTGATCACTTTAACATAAAAAAAAATCCTTATGCTAATTAAAACAATCAATTTCTTCAAATTGGAATATGCAGTGCTTTCAATAAGGTTTGAAGAAGGTGGCTACGTCAGTGAAGCACCTGCCTGAGAATTTCCCTCTTGGTATCCCATTACTTCCAATCACAACAAACTGGCTTCAAACAGATGATCATTAAATATTCATCTCTTTTATAACAATTGTTTAATTGATCATTTTATTTCTGATCAAAATCTTCCATTTGCTGATATGCTCCCTGGGTTTCACACAAGAAGTCCTCTGACAGAACATATGGTTAATGGTGACCAAAATTTGAGTCAGCTTTTTCTTGGAAACACAAAATCTTTTTTTGCTGGAGGTGTATGAAATGTATGCTGGATTATACCCACTGGAGCTTCAGCAGGTGCCTGATCCTATTGAAAACACTGAATATGGTGTCCAAAATTTGTGCAGCCATTAAGTTAATTTTGAAAGATGTGTGGTCATATGATTGTAAATTGTTGTGAATGCAGTATATTGGTAGTGCAGGTTACAGTTTTTGATTTAGTAGCTCTAAATACTGTCTGTAATTTCCTTGCAGTATGCTATTTTGCTGGCCATAATTTTTATCCTGGAGATCGCTGCTGGTGCTGTGGCTTATGCCTACAAAGGAAAAGTATGTTGAAATTCAACTAAAACTTTGGGTATCAGACTGAATATTGCATACAGTGGATATAAGGCTGATAATGATATCAACTTAAAATGGCTGAGCACTTTTTTTCTGGCATTTTAAAAGTGGGCAATTCTAAGGCCCATTTTACCAGCACAGATAACCATGCAATCAGAACTGTATGTTCTCTTGATCTTGCTTATTCACCACATTGCCACAGAAAGAGGCATACATACTGAGTGAGGTTAATGTCAAAAGAAACTGTGTTTGTCCTCACAGAGAGCTGAAATTCTCTTCACTTCACCACTCTGCTCAAGCTAAGATTTTCAATGCTCACCTGTGTTGATTGACTGCCCCCATATTTTTTTAGTGTATTTATTTTTAAAGAAAATATCAATAATGGGATTACTAATTGATCCAATGCCAAATTCTCCAAACTAACATGATAATAAGATTCATTAGGCAGATGGTAAGGAGAATTACTAATAAGATCTTGTGAGTTAAAGGGTCAAGTTTGATTTAGTTAAGATCAAAGAATGGTTTCTTGTAACAATTAATTGTATAGCTTTTTTCAGTCATTTCCACAAAGTTTGAGGTAACTATCAGTAAGCCCTTGGGCAAGTTAGATTTCTATAAGTCTTGTGTTTTTATTTTTTTTTGTATATTTTAGCTGGAGGATTATACCAAAAAAGCACTTGATGATGGTATTGATAAGTATCTTGATGGTGACAAAGATGCGATAAAGGCAATAGACAATATACAGAAGCAGGTAATTAAGTTATTCTGTTGTAACAGAACTTTACTTAGAGTAAGGCAGAGAGGCTAAATGGGATGGAATTGGAAAATTAGTTTCTTTTAATTCTGGTAAAAGGCTCATTGCATGACAAGGAAAGGTTAACAGTATGTCTGTGCAGTGTTGTAGGGATAATTATATGAAATTGATAGGACTCTTATTAATACTGGTTATTCTGTTCAGCCACCATATAAACATTTGATTACACTCTTGTCAACCATAAACATGCTCAACATCCGTACACACCGGGCTCTTCTTGCCACATTTTGATGTCATGTGTGATCTACATTGTATTACTATTATGCAATCTATTTGTGAAGCACATTTGATTTTGGTTAAACAATTTTTCAATCTGTTCTAAGTTATTTTGCTAAATTTGCTGAGGAACTTCAGCTCAGCTGCAACCTGATACTGTAAATGGAAAGAGCTCTAAATTAATGTCTAATGTAATATGTTTGTTTTGGTTAAACAAATAAAATTTTCAGTCTGTTTAAAGGTTTTGTGTTATATTTTAGACAAGTTCCTTCTATCAATAAGGAACTATTTACAGCTTAGGAAATCAATAGGATTTTTTTAGAACTGGTTAAGATACTAATCCAAAATTAGGAATTGTGTAGTAAACAGTATGGAGAATATTCATGATGAAGTTAGAGTGTTAAGAGTTCATTACACTTACACTCTCTTCTCAACCACACAGTAAAATTTATGATAAGATAGACACTGATCCATCCAAGTATGGATAGCATATATACTCCTTGCAGATTGTCTCTAAGGCTGTTAAGATTTTACTCCATACTTTTTTGACTGGTTTGTGCATTTCAAAAAGTTTATTTGTTGTACACTATTTTAAGCAATAGCTTTTTTTTTTCAGTTTAAATGTTGTGGTGTTGATGGTTATGAGAATTACCTTAATGCTTCTGATGATAAAAAATTCCCAAAGACATGCTGTAAGAATGAAAAGCATTGTCCTGGCACTGTTGGGGATGTAAAGAAACTAAATGGTACAAAACTGGATGATGAAATCTATACAAAGGTAAGAAATATCTCAATTTCTGGAAGAGTTTGTGTTTGCAAAAATTGTTTAAGTTATATTAACTTAAATTCCTGTTTGTTTTTTTTTCTTCCTTATCTTTTTCCTTATCTCACTGCTCATCACTCCAACATTGTTAATTGTGTCCATTAACATTTTGGTTTTTTTTGTTAAAGGGATGCCTCAAACAATTTGAACAGTTTCTTCATGACCACATTTTGATTGTCGGTGGAGTTGGTATTGGCATTGCTTTTGTCCAGGTTTGTATTTAATGTTCAAAAGTTTGAGTTCTCAGTGCCAATAAATCTCTTTTTTCTTGTGGGCTTTATTTACTTTGGCAAAGCTGGTCTGGAGTCAATTTTAGGGAAGCTATGGTTTAGTAGGACTCACATTTTTCCAGTTCACACATAGCCCTATCTATGCAACATCCCATTTTCATCTTAATGGAGGCCTTGATCCAGTATGGAAGAAATCAAAGGGATTGTAAATTTAATTAGTTGGATTACTAAATGAATGAGTGATATCTGGATTCGTCCATGTTGTTGTGGATGGTAGAGTAGTGCCATACAGTTAAGTCCCTCCTATTTAAAATGACCAATGATAGCAACTTTACCCCACCTACATGTACTTGTGTGGTGAAAATAAATCATAACCAACATCCTTGTATTTCAGATGTGTGTCAGAGCTCTAATGTTAACTCTTAATATTTTATTTTTCCTTCAGTTGATTGGCATTTTGTTTGCCTGCTGCCTCATGCGGTCCATCAAGGCAGAGTATGAAGTAGTGTAATGTTGCACTAGCCAGCCAATCAGCAGTACAGCCAGAAAATAACTTCACATATATCCAGCTATAGTGTAATTCAAATGTAGTGTGCTGTTCTATGTTAAAGCTGGGTTAGTTGAAAGATTGTATCTACAAAAGTGCGATTCAGTTGCACATTTTTGTTTTCTTAAATAATGGTGCAAATAAACAGGGGAAAATTTGCCATTTCTATTTTATTTCCCTGCCTGCAACCTTTAAAATGTAATTAACAGCTAAGGTGTGCCTGCTGTTTTCTTGTTTTTTTTGTCTTTTCCCCAACTTATATTCTACAACCTTAATTATGTGCAGTTACATATTTTGTGATAATCAGATAGTGACCCCTGGAAATACAAAGCCAAGCTGTTACTTGTACCCAATGTGTATCTAGACAAGATCTGTATTGGATTGTATTATGGTCGTGAGCCCTTGAAGTTGATGGGTATCTGTTGTATAATACCTTTGGTATGCATATCTACTGCATGAGCTTTTCAAGGATCAAGTCAATAAACTTTGGTTTATAACATAATGAGTAAGATACCTTTCCTTTCTTCATAGGCTAGGCCATAAAAACAGGGGTAAGGGTAGTTAGATTGAGTGGCTTAAAACTGGCAATTCAAATTGATATCCAGTTTAAACGTTTAGGGCACTCAGTTCTTAGAGTTGTAGCCAGTGAGAAGACTGAAGGAGGCACTGTGGCAAGAACAGCCAAACAGCAAGAAACAAGGTAGAGAAGAGTAGAGATGCAAGGCCCCTTAATTACTTTCTTTGTAACTGGCAATGCAATGCTAATTTGAAAAAGAAGAAAAGGGGAGAAAGCATCCCATAATGAAACCAGTATATCTGCACTGGAAGGAAAAAATTATGCATTACCTGATCCTATGTTAGGGAATTTTGAAAACCTGTTATCTCGGAACACAGCTTTGGGCAGTGTTAAATGAAAGACACTAATTTGAAATTTAATTTGCAAGATCAGCCGAATGCTATCACAGAACTTGATGAAGATTAATGCAGAATTAGTCACTGGACTCTCAAATCAACTCCTTATAAACCCTTATAAAACCAAACTTGATATTTTTGGTAGTAGAGTTATGATCTCAAAGACAATGAAAGATTATTCCCTACCATTATGATTCTTGCAACAGCAAAGGACGAGTTCTTCTACACTTAAGTCTGACATATACATGTAATAATTACGTTGATTCTAATGTGTCCACTTGCATGGTGCAGTTAGGACTTATAAGAGGACTGATGATTCAAGTAAACATGCCTTTAACAGGGGAACTCTGACTGGTCTTAAGCAATCTATTCTACAGTAACAGCTCTACTCTCTGGAGCAGTACTACTGAGTCCAACTTAAACAGGATTTAAGCCATTCAGAATTTTTGTGTCACATCATTAGCAACACAAGAAAACATGATCATGTTTTCCCCCATGGTTAAAGATCTAAGGTGGATACCAGTGAGGAAGCATTTATACTATTTGATGTATGACTGGAAGTGCACTAGAGACCTTGATCTCTAAATATATCCAAAGAGCTGACATCACATGTATCACAATGATACATATCATAATATTGCAGGGCAAATTAAATTTTGTTATAGAGGTGTTCAACTTTGGAATTCATGAGACCCATAAGTAAGTAAGAACAAACATTGAAAGACACCCAACCTTGCTCATAGATACAATAGATTTCAACCCTCTTAGGGAAATTTAATTTCTTATTTCACATTAATTTTTACATTCATTGGTATGTAATTATGTGTGTTCTCATCATAAAAAGTTCCTTTATCCTGAACAGCCCTTTGGAATGATTTAAATATGTCTATACAATATAAATATTGATATAATTATGCAAATCAAGCATCATTTATTGCAATTGCAGTTCACATGTGGTATCCTTACACAAATATTGTCCAAAGTGTGTAATATTTGGCAAACTGGTGTAGCTTTTTAAAATTTTTATTAAGTTAATGCTAGGCAAAGATATTTCAATTGCATACTTGATATTGAAGAATTCAGATAGATGGTCCCCTCCATGCTCACAAAAGACAGCTAAAAAGGCATTAAATTTAAAGCTTCCTTGAATTACAAAAAAATTAAAAACATCTAAAAAGTAACTAATTGAAACTGAAAAATACCCTGTGGGTTTAGATAAATGGTCAGTTCTGTTCAGTGTTTACCATAAAAACAATGGATTAGAATTCCCGCGAACTGCATGCAAACATACCTTCCCCATAATTTAAAAATGTCAAACCCAATTCAATTAGCAGTGATGTTAAAAACTGTTGTTGTATTTGTACGTTGATACTATTTGGTCAGTTCAACTAATTGAGAACATAAAGTTCTAACTATTGGTTTGTACTGCATGATCTCTGTCATGAGTGTTGGCATTATTAATGGAATAGTGGTCTGCAGCCATGGCTGGTTTTCTAGTCTCCCCTGGAAAATCCACTGGTACCAGCACATCTTCACATGGAGTGTTCCATGACTGCTGCTCACCACTTCCAAGGAGTAAATAAATAAACCAACCAAAAACAAAAACTCCAGCGGATATGTAAAATACTTTCTGCCACTGTGCTCTTGTTGGCTGAGAAACAAACCAGCAACAAAAGATTTAAGTAAAGTGACCTGGTCCTGCTAACATTGAGCTGCACTAGCTAGTAAAGAGGAAGGGGGAATATGGTAACTTTTTTATTTTTGGTGACAACTTCATCCCTACCCCACACCTTTATTCCTAGACAAGGTTCACGTCCTGACTTTGACAAGGATCAGTTTGTAAAATTTAGAGAGGAAACTCCCTCCTAAACCAAAGTTGGTACTTAAAAGTTCTGCAAGTGCTCTAAGAACATGCAACAAACTTAATGTACCAGTTGAGTAATTTAAAGATTGTAGGCATCACAGCCTGAGAGACACTCTTTATGTAGCAGTGAGTATCATCCTAGGAGTTTCACAATATTCAAGTAATCAAGTTATACCAGAACAGTCAATGATTTTTCAGGGGAGGGAGAACAAGAGGTAGACCAAGAGCAAGAAGAACTGCCCTTTCCAACAAATACAACTAAAAATTACATGTAAGATGGCAGGAATTAAACTAAAGGCAAACCAAAAAATTATCTGCCCTGCTTGTGATTTTTATTATTATTATTATTATTGTTAGTTCACAGGTTTTAATCAATTTGTAATTAAGGATAGTGCCTGCACTCCTTTCCAATGCACACCAATCTCCCATCTGTTTTCTAACAATAAGCTTTACAGCAGAAGAAAGGACAACACTCAAACAAGAAGAGTTATAGTCTGACAGGGTCCCGTATTACAGCTCTACTACAATGATCAACCACTGAATTAGAAGTTGGAGTACCAAAGTTCTTGAATAAGGGAATTCCTCATTCTGTGGTGATTTATTTCAGGGACTAGGAAAAGTTATTCTAACATAAGGTTTTAATGAGGGGAAAGGGGGGGTGAAGAAAACCCCTTACAAACAAAACACAGGACTCCAGATTGAAAGTTCCTCTTTCAAGATTTGGCCAGGGGTATAATGGTTCTTGAAAACAACACTTTTAACTCTCACAGTGCCTCTTTCCACCAAAAGGGTAAAAATATTGGTACTGGCAAATTGAGGAAGGAAATATATGATAAAGGGGGTGTGAGACATGATAAAATAGAATAGAAACTGGGATAATCTACTTCAGAGATGTGGGCCACTTGCCTCATGTTCAAGACTAAACCTTGCAGAAGTGGGTTAAAGGGGGGAATCCACTATAATGTGTATTAACACAAGGAGGAATCACCTATTGATAGCTCCCAAGACTTGAAGGTAATTGTAACTGAAAAGACTTCCCAGTCCACACCACTAGATTGACAACATTGAATAAAAGTGCAAACAGCTACTATATATAATGTTATTAAACCAAATGAAGGTAACCAAAAAATTTAGATGAAATAACATTACCTGATTATCTGTAAGATATCCTATGATATAGGGACCAACAATACCAGGAACTGTACCAAATGAGTTGGTTATCCCCACCAGAATACCAGCAAATCTGGGTGCAATATCCAAGTGATTGACAGAGTAAGAGGTTGAGTTGAAAGATTGTACTCCTAGTGCAAGTGTAAAGAGAACAACAGCAAGGCTGGTGTTATCACATCCTACGTAGCTTGTGGACACCAAAAGAAAAGCTGGAATCAGGAAACCTGCGGATGGTGACATGTCACATTTATTTAAGGTGGTTTAGAAGATTTATCGATATGTAACGTAATAAATTAGAAGAACATTTAGTGCAATTCAATCTGTTTTTATTTGATTTCAATTAGTTTTTGATTATCAAAATATGCAAGAAGTAACGTACAATATATTATTTTATCATAATTGCTCAAGACAGGTGATTATAGATATGCACTGGCTCTGATTGGTTGGAGACTGTGTCATATCTTGCTATAATCACCTCATGCAAGGTGATTATACCAGGAGCACCAAATTTCAAAATGGCTCTTGCTTTTTGTCAATGTTTCTGAGGAAGTGATAAATGTAATAAAGGAAAATTCAATTGCAAAAAGCACAAAGAATACCACTGAGTTTGGTGGAACACTTTTCAGTAGAAAGATATGAAGGTTTTGTTGATTGAATTGAATGAACCTGTTAAAACTGCTTGCTAATCTTGATATAAGGAATCAGTGCATTCAGAAAAAATCATGTTCAATATTTTCTTTATACTTACATAATTTACAACAGAATTCAAAAGCATCTCTCCAATTATACCAAAAGAATTTTTATGCCTCAGGCTCATTTAACATTGTTGAATAATACCCACCACTTCATCATGAGGATAATTAAACAATTATATTCAATTTCACCTTCGGCAAATAATTGTTAAACAATGCATAGTCATGAATAGAGCCAAAACTAACAGCCAATCTGAACTTACCAGCAGTACCAAATACTTTCCTAGCTTCTCCAGTTGTTAATATTCTTTTGTAACGTAGCCAATCTGCAAGTTGGCCACTACCAATAGTACCTATGAAACTCAGTATGTATGGAAGAGCAGACACAAAGCCATTCTGAAACAAAAATGTATCAACTATTTTCCACTAAACCAAAATATGGTGAAGGTTGAAGGTGTGTGGAGTAGGAATTTTTTAATCAATGTTAATCCTTCATGCCAACAAAGGTACCTGATTGAGCCCTGATTTATCTGACTGCTGAAATATCCCTTAAGCTCCCACCTAACTGCTTACATGAGTGGAAGTTAACCATGCCAGAGGACTTGACTCTTGTACATGCATATAGTTCATCATATAATTTTTTAAAAAAGCAAAACACCCTTTCACCCCACACATCTGTAATTGACAGGGATGTATCAGCACTGTGAATCAAACAATTGTCTGCATGTTTCACCTACAGATCTACAGTGGAGTGGTTGCAAGCATACTATATACTCTGACACTGGTGCTTCATTCTTTACTGCACCTAAATTACTTCAACATGCTCTCTTTTGGTGGCTCATTACTTTGATTTGAATATTACTTTTTTCAAGACTTATTGCTTGATGATTAGATGCTACCCCTTTTGATCCTTTCTTTCCTTAACAATGGAATCTAACAAATGACCATTTATTGCTCAAAAAGGTTTGGTCGTTTCTTTTTTTAAATAATAGATTACCAATACTTAAGTCTATTAGAAAAGCCCCTAATATCAGTTTCATTGCAACATGGCTCTGAACCTACTCCTCAACTTTTTAGTAACTTTTTGAAGATATCATGATCATTGAATGATTTCAATTTAATTCTAAAAATAGGGGTTACTGACAAAACCTGTGTTTGAGTGCCATACAGGCTCCCAAAAGCTAAAATTAAGGGTGTTTTTTAAGACACTCATAATTTGGTTTTGCTATGGCAACCATGAGCTCCTAGATTCAAGAAAATGGCATCTGTTGTCATGCAATGACTGGGAATTATATGGTGCTTTTTTTAAGCACCCAATTAAAAGTCATGGTCATTATCATTCATCAAATATGGAAATTGTTAAAACCTCTGCAATGTCTGTAATTGCAATAATTCTATAACCAGTGAAATGATTTCTGACTGAATTTTCTAAATGATAGAGATTAATGTGTACCTCTTGAATTGAAAAATTGAGAACCTCTTTAAGATAAGATGGTAAACCAGTGAGAAAAGTGTAGAAGCCCCAGTTGTCACAAACATTTGCTACAACAATGGCCCAGACAGCTGGTGATCTCCAAATCCTCAACCAAGGAGTTTTATAATTCTGAAAGAGAACAATGGAAGGAAGGGGTATGTGATAAAAACAATTTGGCTAAGGGTGCAGTTTTGGAGAGTTCCCTAGGTCATTATAAGCTGTCACTAAGTACATTCCTCCCTACATTATGTTGTGAAAAATAATCTCTCAGAGGCTAAATCTGAGTTATCCTAGATTTAGGTTCACTTTTTTTTCCTTGGTGTAATATTTTCCAAACCAATCCAGTTTTCATTTTCCTATTTCCCACAACAATTATCATATTCTGAAAAAAGGAAAATAACCATCAAACTTATAAGAAGAATTGAAAACCAAGAAAACTTTGAATTAAAAAAAAATAGGCATTTCAGTTAATTAAATTAATTAATTAATTGAAACAATTTCTGCAACTTCTGAATGCAAGCATGATTGATTTATCCTTAATTTTACTCGGCCACATGTAACTACTGAACACTTTTGGTACATAACATCGAACAAATTAAAATACACAAAAAGGTTTTTAACCCTACCCTTGCATGAGCATCATCCCCAGACCCTATACTTGACTGTATGTACTCTTTTTCCTTGGCTGATATTCTGGGGTGGTCTTCAGGTCTGTCATGAGTTAACATTAGCCACATAATAGCCCACAAAATACCTATAGCACCTAAACATAAAACAAAAAAACTCTCATCAATGAATATATTATCTAAGATTCCATAACATTCATTAAATGTGTTAGTACGCACAATTATAATTAAAAAACTATGATGAGAACATTGAGAAGGAAGACACCTTATAACCGCCTCCCAATTCAACCTTTGACTCCCATGAGTGACCAAGACCAAATTTCTCCTTACAGTATTAATACACTATCAAGTAGACAAGTGATGAGAATAAAAAATATAAATTAGAAGATTATATTGAGTTTATCCAACACCAAATTCTTCAAAGTAACATCATAAGAATGGTATAGCAGGCAATAAGTAGAATTATTTAATTGATCTTGGGAGTGAAAGGGTTGAAAGTAGACAGCTCATAACCTATGCATACAGTCAGCCTCACAGCCAAACATAGCCTGGCTGCTTGAAGTCCAATTTGGTGGCCCATAGAGCATGCAGTAGGCTGGCTGTTAATAGCTTGTTGCTGGTGACTCAAACAAGTCAAAGCTAACTTTTAAATACAAAATACTCACTCAGATGTAACTGTAAAACAGGTAAATAATGGATGATAGTGACTCTTATACCACTCCTTTCTTAAAAATAAATCAATCCTTCTTGAAATTAGTGACAACAGAGAACATTGGCACTGTGGTCATATAATCACATTGCATGGAAAAGTAACTTTCCAGCCTCCTCCTTTCATCATGATGTCAACTCACCAAAAATATAAAATACTGCTGGCCATCCTCCCCAGAGATTTGATGCACACAATAACCCAGATATTGGCATTGCAAGTACTGTCCCCAGGCTAAGGCCTTGGATGAAATAATAAATATTGAAAAATATCTAATAAATGAATAAATTCAAACTAAACTTTAATTTCACAAGATGCCTACCATGTTTAAGTGGGATTCAGCCATTATTGTTTTACATGGAAAATAATAAATTTAATGCTGACTCTTCAAAGTATAGGTTGGAATGAATTAAAAAATAAAGAGAAGAAAAAGAAAGTCAACAACACGGGATATGATGTGAGGTCATCCATTCCAGTAACAACTCCCCCCCCCATCAGCACTTTACTACAGAGAGAAGCCCACAAAGGACATGACTCATTTCCACATCTGACTATGACAGCCCTCCAGAAAATTTTTATTGTGGTCTGCCATGGGCAACCAATATAAAAAGGGAGAGATCAGTAGCATGCATTCTATTGAAAAATAATTGAAAAATCACAAACAAAAGAAACATTTGCTTAATATATCACTATGCAAAAATGCACTTGATTTTCTTTTCTTCTCATTCTTTTATCATTGTGACTGTGGTATATGATATTGAAAGTTACAGTTAATTCAGAGGATAAATGATGTTTACATAAATAAATGATGTTTACACTATGTTTCATTAAATTGTACAAAAATTCTTTACAAACAAAGGAGAGAGACTTTAGTTTGGTTGTAACAGGGACTTCAATAGGACAAAACTCTACTTCATAGTTAAAATTTTCCTGACTTCCCTCAAGGAGGTTTTATATTTAAAGCAGTGATTACCTGCATAAGAAATAGTTACTAATTTACTCCTCTCTAAAGGTGGAGCCCAATAACCCCACATTGCTTGCATAGCTGGAAATGTCACACCCTACAAGAAAAATCAAAATGTCAAATCCTGCAAAATATTTTTAACACAATTAACTTAATATTTACCACTATATTTTTTATAACTACTCTTTTACTTAATAGATAAATAGGGGCAGTGTATAAAAGTATTTAAAACCAAAAACCCTCTGTGAGAGAACGCAGTACAGTCAGATAGCTTCATCAGGGAGTTTTTCACTCAGTTTCATGAAGCAAACATCTGCTTCACTCAGTTTCATGAAGCAAACATTTGCTGTTTCAACAGACTTTTTTTTATCAATATCAGCCCAAACTGTTTAAAAGATTCCAAGGACTGATTCTGTTGATGAAGCCCCATTAAGGAGGATCTGAGTATCCCATATCCTTTAAGTTTTTTTTAACCTAAATATCCTATATCCTGTTGATTCCTTTGGTTTGTATCCTTATAATTCCTGTTTGACATCCCAGAATCTCTAATTTAAATACCCCATAACCTGTTTATTGTTTCCTCAAGAATCCTGCCTCCCCATAATTTCTCATCCAAATATTGCATGTCTCAATAATCCCATAATAGGGCCTTGTGGACCTATAGACTGTTGTGAGAAACTTAATCCCCTTTCTGAGTTGTTGTGCCAATTTTTTATTTCAAATTGTACACCTATACTTTAAAGAAGCAGAACTCAGTTGAGTAGTGAAAAAAATCATAGTTAATAACAAAGATGCAATTCATTTAGGCTGATAGAGAGACCAATGTATTTCACTACCTGTCCAAGACCTTCCACCACTCTCACCAACATTAAAATTGCAACACTGTGATAAGCAGCAGCTGGAGTAAACAGTGCTGCCACTGATGTCAAAAGGACTCCACAGCCAAACACAACCTTTCCACCATAACGGGATGCTAACCAACCACCTGGAAGTTGTGTGACTATGTAACCATAAAAGAATGCACCCAGGATAAGCCCTGTGAAGGAAAAAAAGGTAAGCCATAGCTGTGAATTAAAAATTTCAGATTGGTATATTCAGCTTACTTTTATATATGATTTTCCCATTATATTTTACCTGAACATCCACAGTAAATATTCAACAATTATTATGAAAGAGGAGGTGGCTAGTGGTGGATATTTACTGTGCCAGTACAAAGCGGCAAGGTTACTAATATCCAATGCTAGTCACCAACAATCTGGTAAAATAAGTTGTTAATTGTACTATACTAAAACAGTGAGATAATATAGCACAAAAATATGATTTTAACTCATTCATCTCAGCAACAATTACAATCTTTTCAGGTGAAACCCAGTGCATGCTGCTTGGAGATGAATAGCAGAGGGTTTTCAGGGATTGAGTAGCCAATCAGAATGCATCTTGAATGCTTTTCACTGTTTTATACACATGTATTACTAAGAGTTATCCAATTTCAGAACAAGCTATAGTTGACTTCTCCACCAATGTCTAACCAAAGGGTGTCAATACCCATACTTGCACCACAGAATTTGCATACTTAATATTTGCAGCCATTACAATAGACAGTGCTCCAGGTTGGGGAACAAGTAAATGAACCAAGGATTTTATTCCTAGTAAAACTTTTGTTTGGAAGTAGACAAAGGTTTATACAGTCAGGTAGAAATGAAGACATACTTGAGAGAAATGACATCACATGATTGACCAAGTTGAAGGTCAAGATGCTGATGATGATAATGATGATAAGGGGTATTAACTTAGTAGAGTAAAGAAAAATATTAAAATCAAGACAATTACCTTGCATCTCTTGATCCCATTTAAATTCTCCATCCTACAAGACACACTTTGATAATGAAATATCCCATGTATTTAAGGCAATATATTATCTTTTAATCAATCAGTTTTAATTTGTAATCCTTATCAATAAGTTATCTCTCCACCAAACCTAAGGTTAGACTTAAGCAGTAGCAATAGAGCAATGGCTGAGAGAGTTCAAGAGAGTTATACAAACCTGACATACAGTACAGGGTTTGCTTAACAATAAAGAATTCTCCCAACCTCAGGAGTGTTCAAAAGTCATCTATGCTTTTATAAAATATTCAGAAAGCATAATGTCACTTTGTCATGTTTACCTAGTCTCATCTAAACACATTTAGGGAAGGGGGGAGGGGGAATGGTGCAGGGTGAGAGCCCTTGCCTCCCCCCACTGTGGCCTTATTCAATTCCTGGACCAGGTGTTACATAAGAGTTGCGTTTGTTGTAGGTCCTCGTCCTTATTGCGTGGGTTTTTCTCCAGTTACAGTTACGTTTCTAATAGCTACAGAACTCAATTGTAAATACTTCGCAAATTTTTCTCATTCTCATTTTTGAAAGTACTCCTTAAGACTCCTCATATACTTCCCTCGTTTAATTTACATACGATGATTTAATACTATTTTTATTAGGATAGATCTTCTCCTTTCTAGGGATACCCTATCTCACAATAATTACTTGGTCGCTTAAGAGCCACTTTCGACGGTCACTGTTCGTCAGTGAAATGAATCCTTTCAAGTACTTCTTTGATCATATATTACCGTCTGTTCAAAACAAGTCAAAGGTATGAGGACTTAAAAGCTTACACAGTACCTCAACTCGAGTCACGTTTGCGGTATTTCTCTGACATTCGGGGTTGTTTGCGGTAGCTTTTGCATTCGCATAAGTTGAATTAACCATCGCAACCAGTGCCACACTCAAATTAACCCTCAGAAGATACACAACACAAAATCCTGAGCAAGACATCCCGGCCAGCACATACCGGCAAGATAGATAACATCTTTCAGAATCACGGCGAGGAGACCTGTGGCAGCAGTTATCCGTAGGGGAAATGGTAGGAGGTGAGTCGTCCGCCATTAGAAAACGAAAGAATGTAAAATACCTGTAATAGAAACTGCAACAGTCGAAAAATAAATTTGCTACCTGGTGGTCTAAAGGTTTCGGTTACACAAATGTAAACAGCCGTGCGTGACAGCGAGGGGAGGTATGGCCAGAGTGTGGTAACGTTAGGTGCATGGATTGACTTACTATGAATTGAATTTTTACAATGGCACATGCATGATACTGCTCTTCCCTCTTCTCTCCTCTTTCTCATTTCAGTAATGTTTTTTTCTCCATATTTATTTGATAAAGGACGAATTATTGTTTGTTATCTGAGGGGGGAGGGGTAGGGCCCGCAGGATTCTGGCTGTGTCACGATAAAAAATACCTGATCCCCAGCAAGGCCAGTAGCTATGCACCACGCTAACGCGTTTTAATTGCCAAATTACTTAAGCATATTACCGCTTAGGCATCTGTGCACGTGTTATTAGCAATCTCAATTTCAGTTTCCCTCCCACCCACACCAAAGACAGTTTTGAAAAAATATCGTGTTCTTTCACGTGTGTTGATATAGCCAATCAGGTGCTGACACGTCACTCGCCTTTGGAGCCACTCGGTCAGGTTGATGAATGAACGGCAAACCCTTCACGATTCTTAATACAAGTTGTTTGTCGAAGCTTCCTCGAATTATGGCGGCTAAAACACTAAAAAGTCCGTATCGCTGACAGACAGTGAGGTTCAAACTTTCCTAGAAGGGGAAGAAAACCAATATACTGAGAGAAAAACCGACAGTTACGTATTCGGTGGCTTTGGTGTTAGCATTTCCCTCGGCTGAGAATGAAAATCGACAACTGCCAAATGTTGCTTAGAATGATTAGGGAAGTTTAAGAGTCTAACGACTGGTTTGGATGCGTCCTTGTCATTCTTTTCTGCGTAACGAAAGAGTTCTCGGAATCGGTCGACTAGTCTTTATGTTTCGTCAATGTATACCTCTTGGCATTGGCGGAGGTACAGGTGAAATAATCAGTAACATTAATTGGTCGCTTAGGTCTCCACGTTATGATGTGGGCACGTGCGCAAGGTACACTATGAGCATCGCTTTCATAGCGCTTAAGTAGGGTGTTAGTTCACTACAACAGTTTTCTTGAAGACGCACCAAGGCCGTATTAGTTTTATCCACTTAAAGTTCGTTTGTTCCAATTTTTTTCGTAAAGCGAATGCTAACAATATTTTTAGTGGGCAATACAAACTGTTTTATTTGATAAAGGAATCGTTACACTTTGCTCAAACTTTCTTTCAACTAACATAATCAAAGTCACCAATCATGGTTACATTCTTTACTCGCATTAATTTTCCAAGCAGAGCTAAATGGTCAGGACTGGGCTCTTGATACTTCCTCGATCATTATTCGGGATACAGAATTCCACCCGGTTTCAGCGTCACCCAGAGTAAATCCACTCGGACATTTCCCTACCCATAACTCCACCGTTATCCTGCCCTGTAGGATGTTTTCACAGTATCCTTCAAATGATCGATGATGGAGCAGGTTGGGATTACCAGATGGCCAACTGTTGTAAACAACAGCCTCGATTGTCATTGGCCCACCGCATTCATTGCCATTAAATTTGAAGAACCAGCGACTGCACATACCTCTGCCAATGACTCGCATGTTTCCCTGGAATGAGACTTTGATGGCGGTATCTGCTTGCAGCTTGTTAAAGAGGCAATCCTATAGAAACAGAAAGCAACAAACAGTGTTAGCTTAAACAAGAATCACTGATATAGCGAAGTACTTGTTTTTGAGTGCCCCTTTCCAACCTGAACTTTCTCTAAAATATCATGCAAAGAAAGATCTTAATGTGCTCGCCGGCAGAAACTTTAAGGGTAGCATAAAGAATAACTCGCTCTAACCATTTGTAATGGATCGGTTTTATTGTCATTGAGACTTCCTCAACATTGCAGTTACAATTTTATTCTTTCGAATCCACTTATCAATATTTTTGTCATACCTTGATCTTACCGCTATTTCTGCTATCACTAGTCTTCCACACGCACTGTTTCCAGTTACTTTGTGACACTACACTGATCGGACTTTCTCCTTTTTCTCCCTTGTCACCTTTTCTTCCTTGTAATCCTTTGATTCCTTGCTCTCCTGGTTTTCCAATGATCCTGCGCGAACCTCCATCTCCTTTATCTCCTTTGATTCCCGTCATTCCCGGAGCTCCGCTTTTCCCAGGTGATCCTTGCTTGCCTTTATCTCCCTTTTGACCCATCAATCCTTGTACCCCTTTGTCACCAGTCTGTCCCTTTTCTCCATCTCTTCCCTGTTGGCCTTGTAGCCCCGGAACGCCAGGCACTCCCGGCATGCCATTCGATCCAGGAATTTCCGGAAAACCATGGGAAGGGGTTAATTTCTTGGAGGAAGACGAGGAAGAGACGTATTAGATATTGTCTTAATCTAAGCACAAATTACCTCTTTTATATCGTATATCAAAGGTTGATTTGTTTAGCTGTTTAAAGCTTTGCTGATAATTAGGACGCTCGGAAAAAAGCTTATTGTCTAAGTAGATTGTATCTCTGACGTCAGTTGGTCGTATTTTAGCTCTTCTTTTCACCTCAGAGAGGCCCAGATACAAAGAGCTCCAAATAAAAGTGTCGCACAATATTCAAAAGGAGAGACACGCAACGGAATCATTTTACTTCCTGTCTCCGCATGTATTAACGCGTCAACAAGATCAAACATTTTTGTTGTATTTCCCTCGATTTAAACATCCAGATGCTCTTCAACATTGGATAAGTCAGGTATTCCCAAGTACCACATCAAGATAAGGCAAGAATAGTTGCTTCTTGTAGAAAACCTCCTTGTTTACTTTGGGCTTCTTCCTCACAGAGGAAAGCTAAATATTTGTTTGGTTTGTTAACTGATGAGATGTCAAGGAAGGCGGATTTTGCAGGCAAAGTTCGGCGGGTAGTGTAATCAAGGCAGTTAAAACAGCACGACCATCTGTTTTTAAAGACAAGTTGTTTTTTATGTGTACCTTACAAAGATCCATTTCATTGTTCTCCTTTTGAGGGCTGACAGTCGTTTCCACCGAGTCACCCTTTTTGCAAAGAACCAAGAAAGCACTACCAAGCTGAATCGATGGTGAAGAGAATGTGCGCGGCTAGTGAGGTACATGAAATTCGTCTGACCACGTGAAAATATGAGACCCCTAGTATATCCCAGTTTAATGTCTTTATTTTTAAAAAAACAACAGAAAAAAAACACCACAACAGATGTTGGGCATGGGAACTGTCGACAAGGGAACTGATACCCTGTCTGTGAAAGATGAACTGGAAGCACAAAGGGCAATTAAAAACCCGTCCTCAAAGATTTTGAACCTAGCTCTACTGTTCAAATTTGATATAGTAGCAGTTCAGAATCCCGAACGAGCACCCCTGACTTTCATCTACGCGTTCATCCTCTTAATCTCTTGATTTTGTTCGATCTTGGTCGTTGAGTTCATAACTTATGGTCACTGTAAGCAGTTTTTAAAGACAAGTTTAAACCGTTATGTTAAAAAAGTTTTACCAACACAATCACTTTCAAAACCTTTAGACAAGGACAACTTTCAAAGCGTCCCTAGAGGATCTTGACCTTTGAAAATATGATTGTAGGCCTTGAGAAGTTGGTGATGATCTAATAACTGTTTGATTTCCACAAATGAAATGCCTCTTTGATGCAGGTTGATGTCTTTAGTATAGACCCTATTTCGGTAGTATAAAGAAGCCACACCTCTTAGAATAAAAATTGAAGAAAACCAAATCAAATAAAATAAGAATAAGCAGTAAAATGTATTGAATCGAGTCTAAGGTCACCTCAAAGTCACCAAGTTTATTGATCAAATTTCTTAATGTCGTTTATTTTAATTCGATTTTTTCCTGTGGGACGGTGAGTGATCATTTTGAGACGTCAGGTGTTCTTTATTTTTGGCCCGTTTTTTCTCTTGCTTAGTTCTTTCGTGACAATCATCGATACACTTGTGAAACTTTTTAAAACAATCCTCTTGGCATTCTATATACGCGATGTCCTTTTCCTGTTTACATCTATTGCCACAGGGAATCAGTACTTCCCCTTGACATGTCGCCGGACATGGGTCCATACGTGCATTGACAAGAGGTGTAAGTGTGAGACATAACAGTAGAGTCACTTGAAAAGTCATTGCAATGGAAGTTTTCATCTGAAAGAAAAATTTAACACAGACGAATATATAAGAAACATTTCAAAAACAATGCTTTCGACAAATTAAATGATGCAAACATTCTTTTGAATTACGGATGAAATTCAAGGAAGAAATGATCCTCACAGATGTACTGCAATTTAAGCGACTACAGAAAAAAAAGCCTGAAAAACGAGACGAGATTTGAACCCGTGAAAGAGCCGACAAAAATAAGCCTAACCTCCAACAAGTGGCTTAGTACAACCAGTATCAGAGAGGTAGAGGTTCCGATCCCATCGAACTTCCTTATAATTTTTTCAGGCTTATTTTCTGAAATTGCAGCTCTCCTACGAGAACTATTTCTTCACTTGAGAATGCTGTTGGTTAAAGAATAACAGAGATGGAGTAATCCAGTACTATATTCTGAGTAATTGGTGGGATTTCCCAGAGGGGAAGCCCCTAATTAGCGCCTTTCTGGCATTTAGAGATTACAAAGTAACGATAGAAATTGTTACAGTAGACTTGAATTTTCTTGACTAAGCCTAACCCTTACCCTAAGCAACTTGATGACTTATCTAAGCGCCATTGCTGTAAAGCCTCAAAGAAGGTGAGAGGAATGAAGCTGCTCAGATCATTAACTCACTCTCGACAAACAGCTCAGTACGGTTGTGGCTTTAACTTTTTAGGAAACAGAATTTTCATCAACTTATACAAACGCTGTATTGTCCCTCTTGGATCGCTTAACTTCATTTTGATCTGACATGGCCTTACTCGGATTAGAAATAAAATTTAACTCCAATGAACGTCACCAAGACTTTGCATGTACAATTTACAATGCATGTCATTAAAAAGGCGAATTTTTTTTTAATGTAAACGAAGGTGTATTAATGCTGTATGATGCTCTGAACCGTAATCTCCTGCAGGTGAATACAAATCTCCTCATAATCGCTTTCCTTCATACTTCAGCATCAATTACCAACATATCTTTCCATCTTAAGGCTATCCACAGAGTAAATTCTCTGAGAACTTTAACATCACCCACAGTTTCTGAGGGCCTGTTTACATGGAGATGGGGGGACCCCAGGTAGGTGAGATAACCCGCCTAGGTGAGGTAACCCGCCTGTCCATATAAATTCTTATTTTATCTGATCACGTTTACATGATAGGTGGGGTGACCCGCCTAGGCGCGTTGTCCGGTCTGCCAGGTAGGGTAACCCTGTCAGCCGGGGTGATAATTTGCCATGTAAACGTCTCAAGGTGGGGTAACTCGCCTAGCCGGGGTCGCTTTCATGGCAAAAAGCTCAAAAGCGAACCCGTATGTTTTTAAACTTTGTACATTTCCTAGCTATCTCATAGCAGAAATCAACCTTGTTTACCGACATTTTAGAAGCTCACGCGCAGTAAGAAGGATTAAAATCAAGTCAAGACCAAATCCTTATGTCACTCCTTAAATCCGACAGTTAATGAAAACTCGTGATACGTGGCACAAAAGAGCCATTAAAACTAATGACCGCCTGTGTTGGAATGCATACAAATTTTTCAGACAAGAAGTTAAATGTGAACTTCGACTTGCTGAAAAAGCGCATGTTCAATCTCAAATTATTGATGGCAAAGGGAATACTAATGGATTTGGAAAATCATCAATCGTTGTCTAAACTAAGATCTCACCAAAAATCTGTGGCAATCCGATCAGTCTGGCTAATAAATTTAATGAATATTTTACGAGCGTAGGAAGCCTAACGACGCAGAAAGCCTTCGATCTTGCTGTGGAATATGATTTTCACTCTGCCGCAACAACACTACCAGCAACACGGAAACATGATGACTGCCCTGATGATTTTCAGTTTCATGATGTCACAGAGCAGGATGTTGGAAAGGTTTTCAAGGGCTTATCTTTGAATAAAGTACCCGGCCATGATAAAATCACTGCTAGTGTCCTTAAGGACAGTTTGCCGACCATACAATCAGTTATTGCATGCATAATGAATAATTCATTTAGTACCTCTACATTTCCGAAAGCATGGAAAATGGCCGAGGTTGTTCCTTTGTTAAAGTCAGGTTGTTTTGAAGATCCATGTAACAACCGGCCTATCTCATTATTGCCCATTGCTCAGGTGTCTGAGAAGCTAGCCCGTCGTTAGTTCGTGGACTATATAACCACCAATAAGAAGTTGTCTGAGCACCAGAGCGGTAATCTTAAACTTAATTCTACAAAAACTGCTCTCCTACATGTAACGGATGATTTTCTTATGTCCATCGATAAGAGTAAAGTCTCTGCTCTTGTACTCCTGGATATGTCTAAGGCATTTAACAGTATCCGACACGATATTTTGCTTCAGAAACTACAACAAATAGGTATTACTTAATCTAGCCTGGGGTGGTTTCACAGTCACTTGTCTGGTCGTAGCCAAAGAGTACGAATTATGGACGCTGTTTCAGCCTCTCTCCCTCTAAAACATAGAGTTCCACAAGGTTCTATATTGGGACCTGTGCTATTTACCGTATACATAAATGATCTCCTCGCTGTTTCCGCCTATTGTAAGCTGCAAGTTACGTTGAGGACAGTAGACTATACCTTTCTTTTCGCTCAGTAGACAGAAGCTGTGCATTCCGCCGTTTGAATGAAGACCTAAGAGAAATCTGTAGACGGTGCTGCCAAAATTCTCTACTAATTAATCCAGAGAAAACCAGAGTCTTGCTTGTGGGAGTGCCGCAGTTACTGCGTAAATTGCCTCCAGTGTCACTCTCCCTTTTAGGAAAGGAAATAACACCAGTTCCCGTGGCGAAGGACCTTAGTACCTTCATCGATCAGTCCTTAACTTACAACGATCATGTTGCAAAAACTACCTCTAATCGTCTATTTAAATTAACACAGATTAGCAGGATGAAACACCTTCTGGACAGAAAGTCTCTGATATTGTTGATAAACGCTATCGGTTTTAGTAAACTGTTCTATTGCTCAACTGTATGGGCTAACACTTTTCAAGGCAATGTAAAGAAACTCCAATTAGAACAGAATTTTGCTGCGCGTATCGTGTTAGGTCTTAGGAAATATGACCACATCTCAAAAGTCATAAGATCCCTTAACTGGCTTACTGTTAAGGATAGACTCCTTCTTAGCGATGCTGTAATTTTATTTAAATGTCCTAATGATTTAATACCAAAATATCTGGCCAGTATATTTGTACCTCTTTCTCATATTCACACTAGGACTACGCGATCATACAATCTTTTACACATCCCTCGTTGTCGTCTGTCATATGGACAACGTTCATTCACGTATCGTGGATGCAAACTTTGGAACTGTATTTCTAATGATTTGAAAGCTGCGGACAGTGTAAATAGCTTCAGGCGTCGTTTAGCGCAGAAGCTAGTAAGCGGTGAACATTTGTGTTGAATTATATTCTTAGGTCTTTTGTAATTGATTCTAGTCATAAAATGTATCATTTACCTGTTATTCCTTCTCCTTTTTAACTTATATGTATTTTAAAAACTGTAGTTAGACATTGTAACCGAAAATAAACGTTAATATGTATGTATGTATGCATGTATGCATGTATGTAATCACCAGAAACCGCAACGGACACATTCCGGAATATTCAGTGTTTTAAATCGACCATATTTTAAACTATTCCTTATAACATATTAGGTCAACGGTTCCTCGCGTAACTTCACACCGCGTAACACAACGCGTGACGCTTTTATGAATAAATACATACGTGTCCGAGAATTAATCTTTCGTCTTTCTCGAGACGTGAGCTTGGGACGCCTCTGGTCAAACTCCCTCAATGCAAGCGCAAACAACAGCCTCAAAAAACCTCACCTCAGCACCCCGGGGTTGTAAGATTGTATTTAAACGCGTTTTTTTTTCGACAACGGCTAGGCGGGTTACTTCACCTACCTGGGGTCCCCACCTCCTTGTTAACAGGCCCTAAATTGGAATCTAAATATTTTTTATATGCTGTGAACACACATAAAAGATAAAAATCAGGGATTAGATTTTAAACTTACTCTCTTTAAGGTAAAGGAATTTTTTCTCCCCCAAAAGTCGTCCTCCTTTGAACTTCAGTTCAGAAACATGACTTGAATTTTAAATTGTGATATCTCAACCGATGTGACTTTGTGAAATCTTTTAACCTGCTAGTTACCGACGGGAGAGCAACCCACCTCTTATTTAAGGCCTACAAAAACAGCAGGTACACAAGACAGCGCATAATACTGTTTCTCACCACCACTACCTCTCTGTAAGCGAGGGATTTTACGACGTTCCTTACAACGACAATTTAAGCCAAAATTCGAAGCCAATCGATTTGGTTTTTGAAACAGCAATGTCAATGCGTGACGACCTCTAATCTGTGTGTGGGACAGAAAAAAAGGTGACCTCGTGCGTAAACAGCCGCTTTAAATCGGAAGACAAAGAGGCTCGGTCAAACATGAGACACTAAGATGACGTTCTCATGGTACCACTAATTTGATAGTGCAAACGGACTTTCCATGCACTAATTTGAACCCAATTTGGAAATTTTTAGAACTTGTTGGGATACAAAGCATTCCAATTGTTTCATAATCCTGAACCTTGACCAACCATCACCCATAATACCTTTCAGTATTGCTGTGAGCGCCGTCACGCTTTTGTATGAAAATTTCTCTTGAGACATCTGGGTGTATTGACATGGATCGTGTTAACAACATTTTTAATTGATCTGTTTTGCGATCGTCTTGAAACTATTCTTTTTACAATAGCAAACGAAATCAAAACTATTCTTTTGACTAAATCGGACTCGATAATGAGAAAAGATGGGAGGTGAACATTTCACAGTTTTGTTGGGGCGAATAAAAGGGAAGTTTTGCACACTCAAGGTTCCTGTAAGGTGGCATATTTCCTCCATCTCTGATCAAGATCACAGGTGTCTATTGGTGAAAACAAAGACCGCTAGCATCCTATGATAGAATATTCCAAGATTGCAATGCATGCTCACCTAGGCGTCTTTTTAGAGAGCATAAATTAGCAAGACCACCCCCTAAATGGAATTTTTGTCCGTCGCCGACGTTAGTTTGCGTAAGAATCCAAGATGACGCAGCATTTTAAGCATTTGAAACTAGATTTTATTGATATAATATCAAGACCTCGTGAATATTTTTTGTCAGCTCACGCTCAGCGACCTCCAACAATAGATTCAATTCAGATTTTGCAGTATCGTCTTCCGTGTTTAATGTTTTCCTTAATAGCCCATATCCATACTCATATATTCCTCCTCTTCCTCTTCCTCTTCCTCTTCCTCTTCCTCTTCCTCTTCCTCTTCCTCTTCCTCATTGTCTCCTCCAGGCCGATCCATGTCTCCTCTCTTGCATCTATTAATACATCTCCTCCACCTGTGGCCACGGACGTTAAGGCAACCATCGAGGCATTCTTCGTTGCCAGATGATTGGCATCGCTGTCGACACCATTCCTGACACCGCCACATACAAGCATCTTGGTCCTGATGGACTTGTGAATCAAACATGTTTTCCGGAGGTGGCATTTTGTCAGCATATGCATGTTCTGATCGAGCAGTCAATCGATGACTCCTTGGGCCCATCTTCTTCTTCTTCTTCTCCTTGGGCTTCTCGGCTTGTGGATCAAATAGGTTGTCCAAAAGGGCCTCCTTTTCTGGTTTTTCTGCTTCTGCTTGTGGATCAAACAAAGGAGTTCTTTTGTCGGGTTTTTTTTGTTCTGCTTGAGGGAGGAATCGTTTACTCAAAAGCGCATTGTCTCTTCTAGGTTCAAACAAACCGACTGAGACCACAGAATGGATATAGGACTGTGAAGCAATGAAAAGGAAAACGGCTGCAAAACGAATAACCCTCATCTACAAAAACAAAAGAAAACATTACACTTGCACGGACTGTTATGGGATTATGGAGGATAAATGACATGTTTCATGGAAAAGTTGCCGCTAAACGGCGAAAAGACTGCTACAAAAGGTTCGCAGGACGACGAACTTGTAAAACTTGTTAGTTTGAAAACCACATTAGACGATTAAAAAGGACAATAGCCAAGCCACTTTTCACGAAAAAAGATGCTTCTCAGAAATCACGTGAAATCCCCCATCGCAACCTCAGAAGCATTGCTATAAGTAACTATCATTAGATTCCGATCGACTTGTTGGTAAAAAAGTATAAGAAAAAAAATAGAGAAAAGACAGAATTAGATAAGCAACACAAACTTTGAGGCTTTCACGAAAACGAAGATTTCGACAAAGGTGATAAAGCTCTAAATACCTGTTTTTTAAAGAATTTCATACCTCCAGTTATTCACTCTGCACTGAATTGAGGTTTTCTCTATGCTGTGTTCCTCCTTCCCCGACTTTCTCCGGATACAATCTGACAAGGTTTAATTTCTAGCGCTCAGCTTGGCTTCTTTATACTGTTGTAACGAAAGCGCAATTTGTCTAAAAAATAATATTTATTTACCGTCCTCGTAATTGTATGAAATATGGTCAACTGAGACTACAAAAAGTCTTTTAAAGAAAACTTCTTTAATTTTTTTTCATCAAAATTAGATAAAATGCTTGATTGAAATCGTCCTATGACTCAAAAGTACTAGTGTCAAATTTCCGGGTCGATTCTTCAGCTCTTTTTTCACGGGCACAATAGGGAACAGTTTCTCATCAAATGAGAAGGAAAACGATTAATTATCAGGATAATTTAGAAGACATCTTTTGTCCAGTTGTCTATCGCATCGGCAAATATTTATTGTGTGGAAAGTCTGAACATATATGCTTTCATGGTTACGAAGGTTCTCTAACACGGTTTCATTGACTAATTTCAGTGTAATTTTCTTACACTGAAATTCACTAAAATAGATCCATATACCGCCTAACTTCGTTGCAAAGAATTTATTTTGCATATTTTTTGGCGCATTCTGGTAGATTTCATCCAAGAACTATCTTATCAAGGAAAGTTTTTTATATCCTTTTGAAAGTATACGAGTGATTCTTCATCTCTTCATAGATTGTCGACTAATTTCCTAGTTACGAGCACGTTTGACATGTGTTTGATTTGATATTCATTTCTATCTATTGATCTCTTAAAGGAAGTTGTTGCCTATCATCAGAATTTTGCATGGGTGAAATTTACACAGTTCTACTAAAACTGAATTGTTACATTGATCAACATGATGTTTTTATCCCTAGCTGTACAGATACAAAGCGAGGCTCTTGAAAGACTTTTCTTTCACAGGGCTCTCAATTATACGGTCAGAACAAAGGCGTAGTCGTGGACAGGATAAAACGAAACTTAATTGAGGTTTTTCGGTTATTTCCTCTTTTGTTACCAAACGAAGGAAAACATTGTGAAGCTCTATTGTGGCAAGAGAAAATCTTTCTCTAGGAAATTAAAGTTCTATCTTTTACTTTACAAACAAAAGAAACTGACAAAAACATAGAATATCTTAAGAAGTGCACTTGTGCGCGTACCAAGTAACCAGGCTGCGCTCAATGTGCGTGTGAAATGAAGGAAATAATTAAGACGAATTATTGTATCGTAAAATCATAACCAATTTCCTCAAATGTCATTGGTGCATTAGTTGCTTTATTTTTCACTAATCATTCTGTGACGCTTGCGACGAAAGAGGAAACTTCGAGGGGTGTCGCTATGCGTGTTTTCTAAGTGTCGCTGATATGGGGACTATTTTACCGATCGTAGTGAAACCACGAAAACCAAGATGACTATCAACGGTGTTTATTTAGATCACGATCACGATCGTAAACTGAAATTACAATAATATTATAACGAATGCATGAATCTACTTGAAGTGGTGCGAAAGGCATGAAAGAAACGCTTTACGTGCCTATGTCGATAACGCGATTAAAATAACAACAATTAACGTGAATTAACATAAACAAATCATAAAAGGCTAAATTAAAACTACTCGAGATTCAAAGATCGGCTACACGATGACCATTTGCGGCTGATTAACAGCCCAAAGACTAAAATGTGGGCGTTACTGTGTGAGCGTCTAGTTATTTCAAAATACTCCTTTGATTTCAAGCTAATTAGTTGTACTGTTGTACAACACAGTACATATGTGCGCTATCGCCCAAGGTGAAAAACTAAACTTAAACATATTGAAATAAAACTAACAAAATCACTTACATATCGGTCCCGCTTGTGCCAAGGGTTTGGAACGAAAGAACGAAGTTACTGCTGTTCAAGGCGAAATCTTGCGAAACTCTGGCTTATAGGGACGCTAACTTAGCTCGTGGTGACGCTAAAAGATCCGATTACAAACCAATAGGGAAAATATAAACATTGTAACTACGATCATAACTAGGCACACAAAGTAATTGACAATTGATCTAATCAAAAAAAAAGGCTGTTCTTTTGTTCGATATCCTTAACACATTCTTAGAATTGTAATCGGACAGTGTAATCGGACAGCTGGCTGTAATCGGACAGGTCAAGCAGCCAATCATACTTAGTCCTTTCGGTCAAATCCACCAATCACAGAATTGTTCACAATAACCATAGCAATAATCATTTATCCAAAGTGGAATTTCCAAAGTTGAGGAATTTTTTACTTAGACATTGTCTTCACTGCACATGTTTGTCCTAATGTATTTGTTGTTTTCGGAAATTGTAACAGTTATAGTTAATTGGTAACAGGACTTAATGTCGTCTAATTCTGTCTGTAATCATACTCGTGATTGACAAATTGGACTCCCGCTTCGCAGTCGTCCAGCCACTCTGGAAAGTTTAAAAGTAAAGTTTATTGATCGTGACCCTTTTTACTACACGCGCAGGGTCAAAGAGGCAATTCATATAGGACTTCACCCTAACAACATCAACAGGGATAGTGGAATAGAAATTCCAGAAGCGTGGATGCCCACGATCAAAAATACAACAACAGGAGAGCCGTGCGACAGCGGACCGCCGAGGCAGCAAATCGCTGAGTGAACAGCAAGGATCGAAATGCACCAATCGGAGCTGTTGAATGACAACTAATCACAACAGAGCATCATGAATATGATTTATATAATCACGCATGACCAGTCGACCTTGTCGTCTGAAGAAGACTAGCAGTATGCAGTCGAAACGTCGCGATCTACATCACACGTGACTACATCGTGAGACAAACGAAAAACTTAGCTTTTATCGTCCGATTTTGTTAATCACTCGTATGATTACAGACCGAATTGGACTGTACTCGGTCCTGTTGCCATTACATTAATTACTACAAAACAGGCAACGTTAAACTTTTCTTTCACACCAATTTTAAATGTGAGGGGATTTCAGCATCACAGTTGTCCAATGTAACAGCTTCTTCATTCATACAGCCTGTGACTGGACTTTCTCGCACTCTCTAAGATTCTTCTCCCTTTAAGAGTAATGAATACAAAACTACCTTGGTGAACATGGGAATTTACGTTTTGAATCGGACTGGACGTTTATTAAAACCACATCATGAGGCTCACCTAGGAGGTGGGTGCCTATTTGGGGAAGGGTGCTTCTTAAAGCATGGGCACTTATTGGAGGAAATACCGTATCTCCTTTGCTTCAACATTTCCTGGGGGTGGGGGTACACTGTTTGGGAATGACGGGCAAAGAATGGGAAGGATAGTGGAGAAATGGGCGAAAAAAAATTAAAATAGAAATAAACTGCTCCTCGGAATGCAATAAAACGAGGTTCTGTTCGTCGATTAAATTGAAAAGTAGACTTTGACATAAACACTCAGACGTGTTCTACCAAACGTTTTCTAGTAATAAAGATTTTGAAATTTTTTGGAAGTTAATTTTAGCTCACATGACAGGTAATTGAGAGCAGAACTACGAAAACATTTCCTGTCCGCCTTTGCATCTGGAAAATGCCTTAAAAGAGTAGATCAAAAGCATTTTCCTGAAAACAATTTTGGTTACGGGCAAAAGATTACCCTATGTCCCCTCCCATTCAAAATGAAACGGTCCATCCCGAACAAAGGGCTTGGTTTGACATGGGAGAGCCTGACTGATATTACCATATTTTTACAGCTACTGAGGTCACCATCGATTGATTGACTGAATTCATAAATTAGAATTAAATACTAAATTTTGTTATGATTGAAGGGAAAACAATGTTTGGCGTAGCTGCTGTTGGAGCGTCCGTAATAGTGGGTTATGGCCTTTACAAGTATGTACAAGGCAGACAGAGTGCTCGAAAAGTAAAAGAGGCAGTCGATCAGATGGTAAGGCGCGTATTTTTTATGATTCACGTTTACCTTGAATGGTTATCTCCTAATGCGTTGCTCGAAAGCGGTAAACAAACGTGTTCTGGTCCCATTTCTTCTTAGCTAGCTTTGCTTTGTGCTAACCACATTGAAAGTTATCGTTCATAATTTTTCCCCAAGACTACCTCTACTTTTTGTAACTCCCTAATTTTTGATAAGAACGGAAATACGCTTTTAATGTATCACTTCTGTTCCTTTAAAAATGTGTTAGTTAGTTTTGGTTTAATTGATAAATTTATTCTTGTGGCTTTTTATCTCTTACATCAATCAAGTTTTTGCTGGTTGTCATCCCCAAAATTTGTTCGGAACGGCTGTACATATACGCTTCACTAAACTGATTTAAGTTGTGTTAGAACTTGCGTATTTTTCATTATTATCCTATATCTGTTGGCAAGACTCAATATCAAAGTGCTTTTTAATACATTCCAAACAGGTCAATGTAAATTACACAGAATCCAAATGATCAACTAAAGATCAGACTTTGATCAGCTCAGGGCTCTGGCGATTGAACTCCAGAGTTAATGGGTTTATTTACCTATAAGTTTTATAGGTAATTTTTATATTAATTCTGTCTTATAGCTCTGCCAAGGGATTTCCTTTTGGATTTTTTCCCAACAAAATCTTAGCTCTTGTCCACGCTCTTCTACACTAGAAATTAAAGCCAAGGTTAACTTTTGATCTTAGATTAAAGTTGACCCCCTTTCAAACAACCTAGCCTATGGGTACCACAATGCTGTGTTTAATTTTTACAATGTATTTTTAAGTGACCTAACATGCTACAGGTAAAGTTGAGGAATACATAAGCAACAACATTCATCTGGCACAAACATATGCATAGATATTTGTCTGTGGATATTATTTGTTTGAAAAGGGGAACAGTTTTCCAAGGGTGAGGCTCAAGGAAAAGTGTGCCCTTCAAGGAATGCAAAATGTCCAAGGATAAATATGGGAGGCTAATTTCCTCCCATATGGAGGCAGTTGTGGTTATCATCCTTCAAATAATTTTGCTAAAATGTTTACAAATGTCGTACTGCTTACTGCATAATTGCTTTTCACTTTTCAGTGTTCTCTGGTAGGACCTTGATTCAGGGGTACATTTTTTTTTCAGATAGAAAGCATTGACAAGCCAAATGTTTATATCAGGAATTATGTTGGTGTGAGAGAAAAACTCAAGAAACTCTACGAGGGAGGTCCTGAAAAGCTGCAGGTTTGTGATGAATCAAGAATGATCTTATGATTTGAATTACCAAACAATCTGAAGGGTTTTGATAGTCTATATTCCAACTTTTGAAATATAATTTGATAATTTACTCATGACATTTTACAGATAATATCAGACTTTGATAAGACTCTCACAAAATTTGTCATCAATGGGGAAAAAGGCTGCACAGTGTATGGTAAGTCTTGTAATTTTAAAATTTTAGACTGTTATTTGTTATTTCAATTTTTTTAAACTATACAATAGCTTATTTGTAGAAATACTGTGTTGATACAATATCATAACTGAATCAGTACTTTTTAATAAATAGTTTGTTGGTCCCTTTTTTGTTGGGAATGGAATTAAGAATACCTGGTTAGCAAAGTTGATGTGGTTTTACAGCTGACTTGTTCCTTTTAACCATTTACACCTAAACATCAATATGCATATTCTCTATATATATATTGTCCTCTATACATTTCCTAAGGTGCTGATAAGGAGAATTTGGTGAATAATCAAGAACTTTTTAAATTTACAATCATTACCTTTATTTTTGTGACCTAAATGTGTGATTCCGGGGTGATGTCATAAGAGAAAATTACAGAACTGTGTATACTAGCCACTCTTAGGGGCCAAAGGGTAACAATGTAAAAAATGTGTTATGATGTAAAAATGTGCCTACTTTGATATAGTCACACACAGATTTATCTTTAATCTTAGGTGTGATTGAGAGCTCTAAGCAGTTCCCAGAATCATACAGAGAAAAGGTGACCTGTTTTTATGTTCATAATTGATAAGTTTATTCCCTTTGGTCCTCTCCTTAACAACATTTTTTGAATCACAAAATGGGTCTAAACTTGAGTTGAGACATGATAAATGATCAAACATATTTATTGAAAATATTTCTATCATGGCTATGTAAAGCAGTCACTTGTGGAGCATCTTTTTAATCACTGCATTTCAAGAAGCTGGTTCTGAATTACCTTTATTATCTCTTCTATTTCAGGCCAAACAACTTAAAGAAAAGTACATGCCAATTGAATTCTCACCGTATGTACTTATTATTTTAATAAATAATTTCTGTTTTTATGTACTGTAGACAATAGAGAAATGATATAAATACAGATATTTATTTGCTATCTAACTCCAATTTATCTTGACATTTTAGGGACCTTTCATCAGACGAAAAAGAACCCCACATGATAGAATGGTATGATATGTGTGTTGGAATTGAACAGCATTGTATAGACATATATATAATTGATATGTTTCCTTAATGATGGTGATGCAAACCAATGTCAATTTATGTAAGCTGGAGATCAAAACTTTGGGCAAAATAATATATACTATTAACAATTTTATGTGGCTAACATTCAATGTTCGTGACTCCTGGTTTAGTAACAAGTAATTCAATAACTGTCATTATTAACATTTACGGCTATTATCATAAATATTTTAGTTTAACATATTATGATAAATATCTGATTCAAACAAACCATATTTCTCTGAATTTGCATCCATACTCTCACAAGCCCCTTCCCCTGAATAAGCAATCACCCCCTAGATTATAAACATTATACAGTACCCTTCTTGATACAGTTAGTGTGATAGGTTAAATATTTAAAGAATCAAGAGATTATTAAAAGTTTGTGGTTCTAACACAAACACTCAGGTGGACCAAGTCACATGGGTTACTCACCGAGCTTGGTTTGAAGAAGAATGACATCAGTCAAATGGTAGAAGAAGCACCAATTGCACTGAGGTTTGCATTTAGTTTCTTAAATTTTAATCTTTTATCTTGCAGGTGGACAAAAGGAAATGAACTCATTATTGAGCTGAATATCAAGCAAAACCAAATACCTGATATAGTAAAAGATGCACACATTGCTTTAAGGTACCACAACATGCAATACACAATACAGTTTGTGCAAGTATTGTGGAATGACTTTTGCATTTCCATGGAAATGAAAATTTAGAAAAGTTGTTCTGAGGTCATTAGTGTTTAAAATCCAAGTTGCATAGTCAGCTCTGAATGGGTGCATTCCCAAGAAGTAAGTGAAATTTAGGAAGAAAGTCTAAATCTCACCTTAATTTATAAATCATTTGCCGTACTAATTTAGTGGTGTTCAGTCTGAATAAGCAACTACAAATAAGTAATACCAAATCTAATGTTATTAATATTGGTAAACAAGGCCCTGGTGAACATGTCAACATCACTGTCATTTTTTATGTAAAATATTAAAAATATTGCTTATTCCAAAGCTCTAGCTGTAAAGTATGCTTGATTTTAAAGTTACAGCAATCATCTCCATGCACCATGCACTTAGATGAAAAGATCACAACTGACTTATCTCATTGTATGTGCTTGACTTGGAATACTGTCTACCTGTATTATATTAATTTAAAAAGTGACATGCACCCTAAAATAACTGGATTACATTCTGTGTATTTGGATATTTCTACTCAATTTAGAGATGGTGTGGAGTGGTTCTTTGTCAAACTTCATGAGAAGAAAGTTCCTGTCCTTATTATATCTGGTGGTCTTGGAGGTATTTGTAGATTATACCCGTGCTTGTGTTGACTTTACACCCACATAAGCTGTTTTTATTATGCTTTCCTTTGAAAATTTTGGTAACTGTTCACTAGCAATTATCATGCAAGGAAGGATATATTTTTGGAATCGATGTTCCAGGGTTTTCATTGCTAAGTTGTTAGAACTATAGACTCTGAGTCAACATTATATCATTGGTATTACATGGAGAACAATTTGCATTTGAAAATAGATTGACCTTTATTGAATTCAGTCCTTTTCTGTGAGACATATAACAGGTCATATAACATGTGCTTCTCCATCTTCTAGTTTGTATCCACTTTTATTTTCAGATCTAATCAAAGAGGTCATTGATCAACAAAGTACTCTGTATGACAATGTTACCATCATTGCCAACTTCTTTAAATATGAACAGGTTAGGAAAAACTATTGAGTGGTTGAAAGGTTTTAAAGAGTATGAAGAGATAATGGGGGGGGGTTCAGTGATCAAATGTCATATGATGATTGTACTCCTTTTCTTTCTGCCCTAGCCCTGTCACACCATTTTTTTGTTTAATTTTTGCACTAGGGAGTGATGGTAGGTTTTAAGGAGGAACTTCTCTTCAGTAACAACAAGAAAGAGAGAACTAAAGACCTGCCATACTTTGACAAAATTAAGGTAAAATATATTCAAATAAAATATGTAACATTCCCTACCTACTGTAAGCCGTAGGAATGAAAAATAAATAATACTCTATCTCAGTGTCACTGAAAGCCTAAAAGTCAAGTGCGCAGTAAATAAAATAATGGCATTTTATTTCCACTTACATACATTATGATGCCTGCAAACCTTCCACAGAGATACCAACCCAGATAAATAAAAGATTTTAAGATATTTTACTGTATATTTTTTTGTAAATCCCATCCCTTCTTCATTTGGTGTAGGACAGCTTTTTCCTCGTTTTACCCCTCAAACTAAAATTTGTTCTATTATGGACTGAGTGATAATAATTGCATATTAATTATTTTGAGGTTAAAAAATGTTACTGTTGCATACCGGCCATTTTAAAGGAAAACCTAAACAATTTCAGAGGAGGCAGAAATGTTTTTCCTCTTGGAGAGGCCAAGAAGTTCATCCTGTTTCTGGGAGACTCCTGGATAATCTTCCGTTGTTGGCTTCTTTGCTACTTAATTTATTGTTTAAACTTTTTAAAAATATTACTGGTAACTTTGAAATGAACATGTGAGCTGCATGAGAGTTACTGTAATAAACATCTGGTTCACTGAATTTTATCAGAGTGACTGAGACATTACATTAATTAGCTTAAAAGTGTTTCAGTTAGGTGCCCCCATGGAAAACCTGAAATTTTTTTTAAATGGTTTCATAGGAACGTACAAATGTCATTGTGATGGGAGACCTGCCAGATGATGCTCACGTTTCAGACAGTCCTAAATACACTGAGGTTACCCTAACAGTGGGTTTCCTGAATGAGAAGGTGTGTTGTGGGTATGAGAAGGACTGGGGTGTCTGGGGTGTTCATTTAAATGTTGGAGAAAGGTTAAAGAAATTTAGAGTGTGTACTTTAGAACTGTCAGTATTTTAGAACTGTATTTAAGAGAATCTCAATGGTAGATTAAGTGCTCTGATTTAAGTGATTGTAGTGATTCTTATTACTGAATCTTTTCAAAGGATGGATTTCTTTCATTTTCTCTAAATTTCCCAATACAATTCAGGTCATTAGAAAAGACAGGCTTATAAGCTAAATGGTGTAATTTTGATGTACTGTAACAACTAACTCTCCTGTCTAATTTGCAAGGAAATGTATAACAGTCTGTCAGAATTACTAATTGGATCTAGGGAGTTAGTGTTAAATAGCCAGTTTTTTTAAAGTTTTTATTCATCAATTTATCTTTCTCTTAAATGTTAATTCCAAGGTTGATGAACATCTGAGTAACTACATGGATGCCTTTGACATTGTGATTGTTGATGATCACAGTATTGAACTTGTGGATCTTCTTCTAATGCCAATCTTGAGGGCCTAGATGTCATGGAGAAGTTGTTACTCTGAAGAGATTTCCATTAAGTTAACGGAAGATAGATTTGAACCTAGAAGGAGTGTGAACACAGGGGTTTGGGGTAGTTTAATGAATGAAAGAATTAGTATGGAATGCAAGGTTTGGTTTTAAGTTAGATATTAGATTACAGTTGTATTTAAGTTTTACTGTTTAGTACTAAGGGTGTCATTGAAGTCAACTAAACATTTGTGCAAGAGACATTCAGTGGTTCTTTACAATAAGAGCTTGTAAGGAAGGGGCTGTTTATGATAGAACTTTGATAAGAACTTTGCTCTTACATAGAAAAAAAGCAGCCAAGGAGAAGCCAAAGAAGGTTGTGTTTGGTTAATTTTGGAAGTTAGCAGTAAGATAAGATGCTGTCAATAGGACTGTTTGTGGTTAATAGACTGGGCCAGGTTTTTCAAAGCTGGGTTGGTATACCCCAGGTTAAGTGCAAAATTTGATTTCAGATCTCAAAGCTTCAATAGAAAATTTAAAAGAAAAAAGAATTTGATCATTGGATGCTCTACAGAGAATAGAGAAAATTATCCCAAAAAGGCTTTTGAACAAAGGATTAAAGAAACCCACATAAAAAATTTAACCCTGGGTTAGCATTAACCAGCCTTTGAAGGGGGTGGGTCTGAGGTCTGGTATGATGCAAGGAGAGAGTTAAAATGTATCATTGTAAAATGATGTTTACAGGAATCAATTTCACTATTTCACCATGTATTCTTGCTCTAATTTACTTTGTAATTCTGGTAAAGTTTAAGATCTGAATTAGTTTGCCAGCCATTGGGGGATTTTTCAATTCATTTGTAAAATTGGTAGCTAAGTAGTAAACACTTCATTGTCAGTGGGTACTTTTAAAGCACTTAGGGTGACCTAAATGCTGAGCTACAAGTATTACCAGATATGGTGTAAGAATGTAAGAGTAAAGGAATATTGAATGAAACACATAATCTGTGGAAAGGTACAATGTACAAGACATTGCTTTATAAATGTAACTTACACACCTCACAATGTGTCTCTGATATTAGAACTCAGACAAAATCTCAATCTATGAATCAAAGCTTGTGTTTATTGCTCTGTTCCTTTGACAAAAACTTGTGAACATTAGTCCTCAGCATAATTTGGTCCTCCTGAAAAGCAAAACATTGCCCTCTTACCCAGCAAAGCATGCACAACCCACATAATGAAGCTCCATCAAACTTTTTGTGCCACATGGTACATGTACATACATGTACTTAAAATGTAGCTTACAATGAAAACAACAGGAATTTTGTGTTGTTAGTTAGAAGTTATTCCTGTTACTATGCCAGCATTTTAACATTCCATAATTTAATAAACTTGGCAGGACTTAAACATTTCTGCCATTTTCTTTTCACTTCTGGTCACCAATGTTGCAGTCTGTGTCAGATTCCATTTATTTTCCAACAGAAGGAACAAATGTTTACACCAATTTTCTTGGCAGGTAATTCCTACACCTCCTCTCAGGAGAATGCCAGTGGTAATAATTTAAGCCACAGCATAAAATATGGCTTGCTCTCCAATTAATTTTCTGGCCAAATTTTAATCCTCTGTTGTCCTTGATTTACATCAAGTTCCACTCTTTCAAGTAACCATCTGAAAATCAAGAAGAATTCTATTCACTTAAGCTGTGGATATATTATGTAAGTTGAGCTTTAGTTAATGATCAAGATTAGTTTCAACAAAGAACCTTTGGTCAAAGGCATGCAAATAAAAGACGTTTGGAAAGAGCCACTCACTGATTGTCTTCTGTTCTAGTAGCAAAGGAGTAAAGATTTCCTTTAGCTTTACTCCCTCTGACTGGTATGACCACCTTAAATAAAGAAAACATTTTTAAATCAGATCTTTGTTGGTTGAAAAATTATATTCATGCTTAGCACATCTGACCTCATGATGAACAAATTTAGAGGAAGTTTTTATAGTAGGGTTGTGTCTGTTGCAACCAGGCCATTTCTCCAAAACAAGTGATTATAAATTACAACAAGGTTATGAGATAAATGTCAATTTCAGAATACTTCTTGATCCTTTGCACTCTTTTCTTTGTAACAAAGAACTCTGATATACTGTGAATTTCTGGAAAGTTGTAGAGTACTCTTGTGGAAAAGTTGCTTTTCTTTTTCTCATTTGAGTAAAGGGTAGGGTTATATCAATTGAAAACATACATTCAACAGACCTATGTTCACCAGAAAGATCATTGCATGCAAACCTTTTGTATTTGTTATCTTTCTAATGACCACAATCTTTTACCCACCTGAGCAATATCATGGTTAATCATGATATCTTTCCGTGAGAGATTCATGTAAGTAAATCTTAGAGGTTCTCCAAGAGTATTTGAGGCAAGTTGATGATCTCTTAGTAACTGAACTGATGCTTTATAATAGCGTTGAGATGCTATATTTGCTGAAAGATAACAACATTGTCTCAGTAAGTTTAAACTTTATCCAATTGAACTACAAGTAATGTGCAAATCAAGGACACTGTACAGTTATTTGTGCAGTCGATCATTTTTTATTGTAAAAAACCAGCTGACAGGTTGCACAATTGGATCCAGAGTAGTTCAAGTGATTTCCAGAAATCACTCAAATGTTACCAAACCTGCATTTATTATTTCTCTGGTTCTTTATTAGTTCAAGAAATCAATAATCCTTCTTGCTTTATCCCTAGTCAAATTGGTGCAAATCACTTGTAAAATCATGAATCCACCCCTAGGTGGCATATAATATAAATTAGTGGGATAATAAATAATTTATGGGACATTTGTAGTTTGTACTCAGCAATACTACACAACGTTGTTAAAATCTTGATCTAACCTTAAATTCTCTTAAATAATTTAAAAGGAAATGTGTAGTAGTTAGAGGGGAGAATTACAATCATATCTTAGAAGTAAAAGGGTTTAATAGAACCTCAACAATTACGAATTTTAATTAGATCTTAAAGAGATTTCCACCTCCGATGTTGGAATTTTGTAATTCAGGTTTTAATTTTCCTTATTTTCAAACTCACTTCAATAACAATAACACCCTCCCTAACAAGTGGGAATGTTGTGTATATTGAGTCATATACACAACAGCCCAGGACCCCTGTTCGATGTCGCAGTTGAAGCGGAGTGGAACAAAAAAAGACAAAAATAATAAAATTTTTTACCCTAAGCTAACTCACAGGGACCAAAAACTTATAAACTGAAACGAAGTAAGTATGCTGTCGAATAATGGTAGTGCTCACCTTGAATTTTGTGATGGAAGAATGCTGCACCTGCAATAGAAAGAACAGCGCCGGATATCGCTGCCTTTTTTAAAAAATTCGCATTAAACATGGTGTTCAGGAGCTGAGAGCGCTAGATATAACCACCCTGTCGTTACAAAATTCGGCCTAAACATGATGTCCAGGAGCTTGAGGAAGGGAAGCACATGTTGGAACCACTTCACCCCTGAGAGCAAGGGATAGACTGGTACTCTATACATAACGTATCTATCAGAAAATTCAAAATGGCGGTAAACGGCGGGAAAAGGTGTTCACAGATAAACATGCTGTGACAAACATGTTAAAACAAAACTGTTCAAGGAAAGTTAGGAATGAAAAGTAGTGGGGGAGGAAAGGTAATAAAATTCTTTCACATGATTAATTTGTTAGGGGAATTTTTTCTAATGAGCGTGTTTGCAATACCAAATTATGTGCTTAATTTTGAAATTTTTAGGGCTTATTTGTAAATGTTTCTATGTGTATGTTACATATTTGCCTCGGTGATTTGTTCTTATTGTCGATGTGTTCTCTCAGGCGTCCAAGGCATCTTTGTTGGCACGAGGTCTCCCCACAAAAACTAAGCCACCTGCGTTTAAAAGGTAGAAATGATTCCAGGCGACTGTATATGTATTGCAATGTTGTGGTTTAATGATTTTGTTAGTTTAAAATTACTTTGACCAGTTTGATCTTTATTTTCCATAGTTTCAGATTGTGATAATTATTTAAGACAAATGAAAATATATCAAAGTTGTTCGAAACTGAAAATGACAGAAAACATTTAATCCATATTGGCAACGTTTAAACACGCTAAATAACGTACGGCTGTATTGTGAGGGACGTTGTAGTTATTAGTTTGTTACACAAATGTTTGCTGCAGTCCTTGAATTTAAGTCAGTGGATGTTAATGAAAAGCAGATGTTGCAGGGTATGATGTTAAACAGTAAATCTGTACATTCTTGAAGTTGATGACTGAGGTAGTCGGAAAAACCTTGGAAAGTAATTAGCAAAGTTCATTAGCAAAGCGTTTTTGAACAACCCTCTTTCACAAGTGGTTAGCCCTTTCACTCTTGAGATCCGAAAATTACTTCTCCTGTCTCATAACAAAAAATTTTCTTTTGTTCTTAATTCTCATTGCTCGTCAGCTGTAAGCAAAAGTGCAGAAATTGAGGGGTATTTGAACCCACATGGAAATTGTGAGGTAAAAATTTTTAAACAAGGAAAAAATGGAGACCATTCTTCTTTCCTTCACTTATAGCGTGAGAGTGTTTCCTCATAAAAGTAATTTGCAATTCAGTGCTCTTATTGCCTCTGTAAGTGTTAATAATTTGACAAAATGAAGATTTGGAAAATGGATTGAACAATCAGATCTTTATCCACTGACCTAAATTCAAAGTTACATTATCAATATTGTTACTCCTAAGGTTTAAAGAGTTTGCAAGAATAGAGTATACAAATAAAGTGAATTTTCTCAACCATTTCTAGAGTCCCAAAAGGACAACATAAAGCTGTTAAGGAGACCAAACCAGGTTATAGTCTCTACACCACAGATTCAGAAGACCAGGTATGTGATCTTAAGAAAAAAAAATTTTGATAATAGTTTGGATGACTCTTTTTGTGTTTAATTATATTGATTCTCTCCAAGAACATGTAAATGAAGTTCTGTATTTAGGTTCTAGTCAAAATCTCTTAGTCTTGTTGTTGTCTTAGAAGAGATCTTGTGCTAACAGTTAAAACTCTTATTTAACAGGTTTCTTCAGTTGACCGAGGCTTGAACAGATGTGCAGCTCTTCTGTCTAATATACTTGACAATGAAGACAAAGGTAAATAGGTTCTTCGGTTGAGTGAGCAATTTAATCATGGTCTTGCTCTAATCTCCAGAGGGTGGAGTCTGATTACACTTAGGGAAAATCCAGGGGTGGTTCAAAAGGTTGAGTCAAACCCTTTAAATTGAAATAAATAATGTTCAGTTATGTGTGATTTCAGACAAAAAACTTAAATGTTGATACCCTTACATCACTTACAAATACTGTCTGTAAACTGTTAGATCTTTTTGTTTGGATTTTTTATACCCAATGTCATGTGACCAGTTTTCATACTTGGATTGTGCACAAGGTTGAAGTTTGCAGAATGAGACTAAATGGCCATCTTGATCTTCTCTTCACTTTTTTCCGGACTTTAAGCTTATACATCACATTATCAACTCCAATAGGATGGTCCCCCTTCAGCAGACATTTATCAGACTCCCTCTTCACTGAATCCTGGATCTGTCCCAGTGCATGTTTGTCATCTGGAGATCAAATATAAAAGACCTTCTGAACTCTAAATTTCCTGCTGATCTAATTACAATACATGATTGTAGTGCTTGTCATGCAATTCAGGGCTAGTCATGGCTGTAAATATTTCAAATTGACCTTGTGCATCAAGTTTGATTGGGAATGATAGTTTTTTAATTAAGCCTTTACACCTTAATATCAGTATGTATTTTCTCCATACTGTTCGGAGAATCCTAAGGTGCTGACATGGAGAATTTGTTCAACAGTCAAGAGCTTCTTTAGTTGGTGATCATTTTCTCTATTCTCATGACCTTAAATGTTTGATTCAGGGGTGATATTGTAAGGAGAAATTAGATGCTAGTCACTCTTAGGGGTGAACATTTGATGATCAGATGTACATTTAAGTCATGCTTTTCATCAAGAACTGTATTTGCAGGAGAGTACCGTAAACTAAAAGGTAATTATCTTCCACATCTAATTAGAAAAAAGATCTGGTCATGAAAATTCAGTCAGAGAAATCTTCACTGTGGCTTATGAATTTTCCAGTCTCAAATGCATGAATACTCTCTGAATTGCACTCAACCCAGTCTCAGTGCTGTTGCAGACAGAAAAAAAGGCACCCAATGTTTACAGGTTGCTATGGACTCTGAACCTAACAGGAATTAAGAAGAGATTCATGTTACATTGTTTTATTCAGATGGTACAGCTAAGTCCAAGGTGACAAGTTTGGGGAAACCTGTCAAGTCATCTTTAAAAAGAGCAGGAGCAGCCTTGCATCACCAAGTCAAACCAGACAAGCTTAGCACTCAGAGAACAAGAGTGTCAAGTCGAAAAGTTGTAATTCCCACTGCAAAGACTGATGACAGAGGTACAGGTGACATTTTGTTAGTTCATTGTGTGACATGAATCAGGTACATATACTTATTATCTATGGTAAAGGCCAATTCCATCCACCTATTTTTAATTTTGTGCTTGGTTTATTAACAAATGATCTCAATCAGATTATCTGGTTGTAACACATTTTAGTGGTTCAGTTTAATTATTTACACAATTCAAACAACAGCTGTACCCCTCTTTTATGTATTGCTAAGAATTAAGTAAAAGAAAATGGCCACTTAAAATTTCATGGAGTGCATAGCTTTCAAGTTGCAGTTAAATGGATTTAAACCTACTAAAGATGTTTTCCTTTTAAGTGCGGCAAATGAAAACGGTCCAGTTTCTTATCGTGATGATGGAGAAAAATGCTTATCTGCATAGACAAACGTTATGTTTCAATTACTTTAGGGACTGAGTAGTTTGTCAAGATCTACAATGTGTGTGTCAAGAAGTTTTATTCTTAGTTTTTAAAGTTTCATTGAAATTCATTTGTACTCCTACGGCTTGTAGCAAGTCCTTCGCCATCAAGGCCTCAAGAAGTAAAGCAAGGAACATCAACAGCTTACAATGACCGCTTAGTGTCATCTACACCAATTCTCACTGCAGAGGAGCGACAGAAACATCAACAGCTGCAAAAGCGAGAAGCAGAATTGCAACAAGAACTGTCACAACTAAAGCAGCGTTATGAGCTTCTGCAGGTACTGTGTTTGCAGAGAAAATTTGGCGAAATCACTCATAATAATACTGCTGTACCCATATTTCAAACGCTTTGAGTACTTGATCAAAAGTGACCCCATAAACTAACACGACAACAAAAAGAAAAAAAAGCTTGGAGGGATGTCTGTAACTCCATTACATTCCACCCAGGTGGATACGCCTGGTCGCTTCACGCTGCAGAAACAACCACCACTACGAAGGATGAAAGAAAAATGAAGAAAAAGCAAAACTAACAAAAATGAAATACGGGGCAAGGAATTAGTAAGGAAAGTCTTACTTGTCTTAATAGCTAGGTAACGTTTGTGTTCAATGGGTTAATGTTCTTTGATGTTCGTGATCATTTTAGAAACAGAACGATCCCAACCACCACATGGAACAAAAACTGCAACTTCAAAACTCGATGATGCAAGAGCTCGATAGTCATCAACAGAAACAACCTTTACAAAGGTCTGCCTGCTCCAGGCACTTAAATGAACGACAGTCTGTGAGCAACTCTGAAAGTGAGAAACACTCAAGGAGACCTTCAGCGCGGAGAAGCCTGGACTATTCAGGTTTCCCTGAAGTGAAAATTTCAGCTAGTGACACTTCTGTTGATCGTGGCTTTGACGAGCCCCAAGTAGGGAGTGTATCAGATACGATGGGAGCGGAGGGTCGTGAGCGTGTTGGAGACGAAGATCTGATGCATAATATGGATGACTCGGTTACGCAAGAGGTTGACACTCCAGGATCAAAGAAACAAGTCAGAATCGTATCACCCTCTGGAAATACGTCACCTCCCGTTGAAAGAGAATTCTTAGCGAGTGCAAGTCCACTTCAGAATGTGTCCAATTCTACAAACACAGAAATTTCTGAAGGGAAAAGAACAAGAAAAATGGCCACTCCATCATCTGTTTCTGCTCAGGCAAGCTCCAGAAGAGAAAAGGATGGAATAGAAATGTCTTCTGCTGAAAATCAGGCACGGATGATTCAGTACTTAATCGATGAACTCAGAGCACTCCTTGGAAATACAGGTCAGTTTGGATTAATTTAGTAGAAGAGAAACTTATAATTGGCGAGATAAATGTGGCAAGTTAATCTATCGTCGTTGAACTAGTTTGTTTTACTGGAGGCAGGGATTCTCAGTGATGTATAGAAGAGATGGCTGGCTATATTTATAGCACCCGAATGGTCAGATCCTTTCCCTAAAACTAAAACTTCTGGGATCTAGTGCCTTATTTCTCTTTCTCCTCCTGAATTCTCCCCAATTTGTTTGTACAATAGGTGATTTGGAGGTAGATCGTTTGCTTAATGAAATAGACGATGCTGTAAAGCTTCTTCCCTATCTCTTGGAGAAAGATCACACTGCATCTGTTTCGCAGGAAATTGAACAAGCAGTACGAGCCTATAAAGTTGAAAATGCTCAGTTAAAAAGGTTTGTGTTGTTTGAGTCTTAAAAGTTTGTTAATACCCCTTTGTAACGAGAATCTAGACAGAATGAACTTTTGAGTGCTGTTAAAAATCGTCGAAAATTTTCCTGCTCGAACATTTTCGTAGATAAAATAGCATCGTGAAGTATGTTCTTTTTAAAATAATGATAAATAATTTTTTCACTGCGCACCATGATGCTGAGTAAAGGTCGTTAAGTATAGGAAATCGTATGAACGCGAGTGCATTTCGTGATTTATGGGCAAGAGTGATGTTTTGAAAGTTCTCAAAATTGCACGAGCCGTAGGCGAGTGCAATTTGAGAACTTTCAAAACATCACGAGTGACCATAAATCACGAAATGCACGAGCAGGTTCATACGATTTTTTATTTATTATATTCTCGATTTTTTTATAATTTGGTGTTCAAATTTGGCGCTTCCCAGGTGTTTCCATGGCAACTTCTCCGTATTGCACTCTATAACCTCTATTGCACTCTATAACCTATTTATGCATTCATCATTGACCAATCAGAAACGCGATATTTTGTTGAGTATATAATAAGGTCTGTTAAGATCTTCATGTTGCGTTGCGCTAATATGTGTATTTCTTCAATTTGTAGGAAGCTCCTTATTTCTCACCAAAAGCTGAAAGAAGGATCCGTAAAGAAACACGACGACAAATCCTCTAGTAGGATGGATCTTGCTTTTGAATGTAAGCTCATCTGTACTAAAAATTTACTCGTTAGGAAGACTGCGATACGTCGACTTTATTTATGCAGTTAAGCATGATAAGCGATGTCCTTAAGCAAAGTTAGCAGTGATGTAAGCTGGTGACGAAACAAAGCGAACTTACTCAAGGAAATTTACCCTCGCTCCCAGAGTCCACTCTTTTCCTCCCTGGGAACGAGGGCGAAAAAAATCTACCTCAAAAGTGCATATAAACCGAAATTTTTTTCTGATGATTTTAAAATAACGTGTAGCTCCTGCTGATCAGAGCAATTTCCACGGCTTTCTTCCAATCAAACAAAGACAACAATTGTCACCTCAACAAACATTGCAAATGCTGCTTTTCTCATTGCTATCCCCTATAGCGCACAGCTACCTCCTTTACGACCTGTCTTGTCACGAGTTTCCTGTTTCCTGTTCGGTGTTAGAAGATCCAACCGGCAACCGCAGGATATGAACCACGACTCATATTGTTTCCGTTTTCCCACACTACTGAATTGATTTTATTTAAACCGAAACGCTGCAGGATTTACTCAGTTTTCATTTATGCCGTGTGCCTTTTTTGTATCTTAGTGGCAGCTTGCAGGTCGGTGAACAGTGTACTCCAGAAACAACTAACAGAAGAAAAAGACAATAAGGAGCAGATACTCACAGAAAGGGACCGACTCTCGCAGGTTAAAAACTCTGATATAGAATTGATTTTTCCATATGGCTGACACCTAAATAGGGTATGATCTGGCGAATTCTGTGTTCTCCTCCTTCGAAGAATGAAACCAGAAAAGAGTTTTTTTCAATGGAAGCTCAGTTTGATAAAAATACATGTATGAATTATCGTTACAGTACCCAAAATGTCGCACATTTTAGATTGAAGAATAACATCTATATGTCTTCATATCTTACGTTATCTTTGTTCATCTCAAGCTTGGTCGTTTTACGTTCTCTCTCTCTTTATTTTTCTTGTCTCTGAATTGTCAGAACCTAAATGAACTGAAAGAGGAGAGAAAGAAGTTTCTACAAATTCTATCAAACAAGGTAAATATACGGCTAAGAATATATGAAAGTCATATATTTGAACTGCAGATAAAGACGTGAATGAAAGTGATACTCGCGGTAATGTACATTACTTGAGCAGTAGTGAAAATAAGGCCTGAAAAAAATTCAGGCCTGTACGGGATTTGAACCCATGACCTTTGCGATACCGTTGCACCGAATTTTTTTCAGGCCTTATTTTCACTACTGCTCAAGTAGTGTACATTACTGCGAGTATCACTTTCATTCACAAACAAGGTAAAATAAAACAAACCATCTCAGTCTTTTAGTTTCCTCGTGAAGAGGGAAAAAGATGACATTGTTTTTAGTTTAATCATGTCCTCGACTGATAAAACTTTTCTTTTCCGCTTGGACATGTTACGCGCTTATTTTTCTTGTTACAACTTTCAAAGCTTTTTCCCCTCATTATAATTGACGCATGCTTTTTTTTGAGGGCGTATTAAGAAGTTTTTTGTACCCTGCAGGAACAAGATTATCTGAGGTTGAAACGAGAATTACAGCAAGATTCGTCCAAACTGACTGCTGGTTGGTTTATCCTAAATGGCATATTTTCAAACTAGGAAAACACATTAGTCCCCTTTCTCAATGCAACTTTTCTGAAACTTTGTTTTAATGAACCCGAACTGATTTAACTGAGTGAACTTGAAACGGGTTTGAGGTGAAATAAGTGAACTTTTTTTATTCAGTCTTATTCATATGCACAGTTATCAGGTTACACCCATTTGAATCAAACATTTTCATATACATAAGTGTCCGCACAAGGAAGGTTTCTAAGGCCAATAAAACAAGCAGTTTTCAAGTAAATGGGAATTTGCAGAGACCTTCATCACATTATATCGCTATATCTCCATCTATAAATGTGTTTTGAAATCCTAATATATGGCTTATTAAACTTTGCCTGTTATGAAAATCGAGTTTATCTCTCTGTAATAGCACAGCCATATTTTTACAGAAAATAAGAAGCTTAAAGCAGATCTCGAAGCTGTTTACCTTTCAACGGAAGCAGAAAAGAAAGAAGCCACCATCCTTGGTCTTTCTTTAAAACAGAAAGATGCAGAAATAGACAGACTCAAAGAACTCACCAGGTAAGTCAAGTTTAATAGTTTTCACTTGCATATTGACCTGTTGATTCCTATTTAACATATTGTGTACACGTCTTATTCTATAACTAACAGAGGGCTTCAACAATCTCTTACCCGCTTGCTGTCAGATATAGAACAGTTTCAACCTAATGGTCCTTTAAGGCTGGGAAGCATGTTGGATAAAGCCATCGCATTGGAAAGTTTAAATGCATTTTTAGGGAGTGGCCTCCAGACCGCGTAAGTAAGGTTTATCTTCTTACATTTTTTTGTTTCTAAATGGCATGCTCGCGAAGCTAAAAGCAACTTACCAAATGAAACGATTAATATCTTTGAGAAAAACATTGAACAGTACCTTTGTGCTATAGCCTCCTATTCTATGATCCGAAAACTTTAATGGAAGGTGGGTGTGTCATCTCTCCATTTCTTCCTTTCTTCTGTTTGATTTGAAAAAGACTGTAATTTTCTAGTTCAAAGTTCTGAATTATACCTTTTATGGTGTGCCTGCTTCTATTCTTTTTGAGACGTGGTGGCGCCCCATTCATCTATCAAGGCAAAACTGAAAGGAGGAGGCTTCGATTTCTGAATACAACCGCTAAATTTTTAAAAAAGTGGTTCTTATTTTCGTTATCACAAAGAGGTCAACTTAAAGGCAACTTATAATTTCGATAGGCAGTCTAATGTGTGGACCTAACTACTCTTCAGAATTCAAAAATGGAATTTCAAGAGAAGAAAGTAATATTTGGTGTTCTTTCCTGAGCCGACCTTCTGATTAAATCCTAAATTTTCTTGTCGCCAACCGACGATATACTGAAGCAGCACGACCACCGACTTACGGGTCTAATTCTTCATTCCTATCTTATGCCCTTCGATTGCACTGTCTTGGGACGACTGGTTGACCCAAGGCATCCGCAAAAAATGCTTTTGCATTAATTTTTTGGGCAAGCAAAGTTTACTTTGTCGAAATGTCGAAATACTGATTCAACAGTCTGTACAGTAATTAAAAGAATACATATATTTTTTTTCCTTAAGAGGCCAAGCAACGACCCCAGGTCTCTCCCCTGAGGTTTTACAACTTGCAAGACGAGATAACAGAAACCCTTTATCTCCAAGTCGGCCCGAAAAAGCAATTACTACCCTTGAACAATCGCCGTCGTTCAGTCAAGGTGTGGTATCAACGGAGAAAGTTTCCAGAAAGGGTAACGATGTGAAATACAAAAAACAGTTACGATTTGCGGACGCTACGCAGAACACCTCTACGCATGCGGATGGAATTGAATCATGGGAAGACGGTTTGAAGGTAGAGGACAAAGAAAATGGCGGGGATTTATCTTCCCTTTCATCAGGAGAAGAAGAAGATTTCAAGAGAGATTTAGCGAATCTTGACGCTAATATTGCAAGGATACAGAAAAGTTTGCGAGAAACCGCTTATAGAACTTGACATAAGTCGATGTTAAGTCGCAGTCTGGAAATAAATTAACTTGTTAAGAAGAACTTATCGAAGTTTTCAGACAAGTCGCCCATTTTCGCACACATTCACATTATGTAAAAGTTTATTAAATATATACTTAATTACTTTTTTAAACGTATTGACTTAGTTCTCAGATGCTGTATAAGAAACGAGGGAGAGATCCCATCTTTTCGCCTTTCTCCGCGTCTATGTTATTTTCGAATCGTCCTCTCCGTTATCCCAGCCAGAGCACCACGCGGAAACTATTTTGGGGCTAAGAGGAAGTCCTTGAGTTTTGGTCCGAAAAAAGAGCACCAACTCGGTTTGTGCTAACAAGTTGCTCGCCTCTTGCTCAGATTTGTCTGCTATGTGGAGCGTGATATCACATACAGAGCAAGTTTTCCGCGCTTTTCCTACAAGCTTTTTGTTACGTTGCATTATACCCGTACGTTTGATGCTGTATGTTTGATTTTTTTTAAGTGGGCCGTGCATAATTCAATTGGAGCATTCCATATGATTCCCATGTTAGACTTCCCTTCTCTAACTGGAAAATGCATCAACTGACTGATACTCAGCTGTCTTGCAGGCGTCCAATCATGAGAAATTAAACGCCAAAGATACTCAGGCAGGAATCATTGCTTTTCTTCTTTCTTATTTTTTACCCTTTTTCCATTAAGTCGATAGATGGATAGAAAATTGCACTAGAGGTTATATGCTTGCAGCGTTCCTTCAAAAACTTTGAATTTTTTGTCGCAACTTACAGAGTTACGATTTACGATATGTAAGGTTGACGGATAGAGGAAAAATGAGGCAATAATCGGCCAGATTCAGAGTTTTGTTTTACCCAGACAGTAGTCTTATTAGCCGATCTGAAGTTATATTTGCAGCTGGTACTTCTGTAAACTTGTCTACGATAATTAATTCTTTCCGCAATCTCAGATAACAAAATTTTTCACGAATCCAGTGATCACGAGAGTCACTTTTCATCTCTTTAATCACTATGTAAAAGTTTGAGAATCTATTACAACGGTGTTATCTATTTCATTTTAAATCAATATAGTAGCGTTGAAGGAGCCCGCGGCTTCTCAGTAACGCGGTTTATGGTAAGTAGCGCGCGCGACGGAACGTTTAAGTCACATGCATTATGATGTCATTCCAGTAAGTTCGACTACCCTGCTCGTGAAAATCTTCAAAATGCAAACTCTTGTTTAAAGAATAAAAAGCAAGAATGCGGAGGCAAAATACAAGAATACCAAAAAAGTACTTCTAGATGTTGGAATTAGTTTCTCTTAATAGCGTTTGTTATGTGCCCCTTCTTCTAAAGAAACTAAGAGAAACTTCTGTGAACCGTTACAGGTATACGGGAAGATTCATGAATGTTCATTTATCAAAAAAGTCATTGGGAGATAACAAGCCATCTGACAAGTATCCTGAGGCTTTCAGAGAAGCTGTCCGTAGCACATCAATCCAGCAGTTCCCAACTGAAGGCGGTCAGCAGCTTTTAGGTAAAGATATTTTTTACTCATCAAAACAAAGTATGGTTAGATTCAAATGACAGCCAATTATGAGTGACAGTAATTTCAACTTAATTTCATGTTATGAGGGATGGTCTGACCAATAGCGTCGATATTTAGCTATTTAGGCTCTTATATGAAGTTTGTTTACCGTAAGATTTCAGCGCATCTAAAAATGTCCTATCAGGTAATTGCACTTAAACTATTTAATTTAGAATATTTGCATGGTATTTAACAACTATTCACAAAGTGGAGATGGCTAGTAGTGGCCAGTCCGCCCTGTTGCGGTGCTGCCCGCTGCGGCCATGAACCGACACTGAGGTGCATAGTTGTTCTAGGATATGACACTAAAATACTGAGATGATATAACACAAAAAGATGATTGTAAGTCATTTATTTCTCCAACGATTACAGTATTTTCGGGTGCGAGTTGCTCGGAGGTGGATAGCAAAGGATGTTTGGAGTTGGAGTAGCCAATCAGAGCGCGCCTTCACCACAATCCACTGTTTTAGTATATACTAATTTGAAATACAGTTCATAATAAAACTGTATGAATTGGAATGGGCGATTAAGACAAAACGGTATTTGAAACCCCAACAATGAATTGATTAGTTATTAAAAGACTCGTGTAAGTGTTTGTGTGTCTTTTTATGACTTGTCTCTTGGATTCTTTATTCACCTTCTTCCGAAGGAAAGCCTCAATCAAAAGTTCCATGAAAGTTTTGCTTCGCAATTTACCATCTCTAATACACTTATCATTTCAAAACATACATGAATGTAGTCGATGAATAAGGAATGAAGATTACAGGATGATACCAACTGTGGAAGACAGCGACGTAAGTCTGTCTTAACTTGGGTTCAAAAGACAAAAAGAAGCATTCTGTAAGCGATGTAAACTGAATGAGTTGTTGTCTTATGAAGATGAACATAACATGTTATTATTGGTATTGGTCGTTGATTCTTGGTTAAGGCACTTGTACTGTGATTAAACATATTTTCAACCATACTTTTAATTGCCACCAGTTCCGCATTTTTATTTCAGATCATTATGCGGCTCACGCTGGATGTGGCCTATCAAAACTCCACCCAGCCGTAGCGTTGAATTCTCTTCGTGCAGACTCCGAGTTCAACATCAGCCTCCCCGCTGCCGGTGAAACGAGATTAAAAGCGCTGCGAAAGGCGGAGTCGAAACGACAGCAAGATAAATGTATGGATGAACTGAAAACTGTTCTGGAAAGAGTGCGACTAGCTATGGACGAGTTTAACACAGCGCAGGCCGAGTTAGAAGTTCCGGAAAGCCCTGATCTGGAATACGAAGCAGAAGAAGAAGAGAAAAGGCAGCGAAAGAAGAAACGAAAGAGAAAAAGGAGGAGAGAGCAGAGAAAAATCAGACATAAAAAAGCTAGTTCAAAAGAAACCCTTAAAGGGCGGGAGAAAAATGCTGAAGAGAAGTCGGCCAAATCAGAAAAAGAATCAGGGAGCTCTAGTGACGAGGGAGATGAAGACAGCGGTGAAGAGCAGGAGAAAAATGCTGAAGAGAATTCGGCCGAATCAGACGAAGAATCAGGAAGCTCGAGTGACGTGGGAGACGAAGACAGCGGTGAAGATGAAGACAACGATGAAGACCAAGGTGCCGAGGAGGAAGATAGACAGGGGGAGAACTGGACCATGACGGGACAGATCAAGCGTAAAGTATCTCAAAGGATGTTAGTAAAGGTGGGCATTGTTATTCGTTATTATAGCAATCAGTCAGTTAAAATACATTCTAAGGAAGACTCGTCTCTTCACGGTCTAATTTGTGGACCAGGCTCAACACAGGGACCCAAAGTAAAGAGGGCGAATCAAATGTATGTCCTCTGCAGGTACTTTCAACGGTCACAGTCATACCATGCTTCCTTTGTAACTCTCTCTTATATGAATAACTGTGTGGGTCAGGGCATTATGGAAAAGTTGATTTGACTATTTATTCTGATGAGCGTGTATGGAAAAGAAGAAAAAACATTGGTCTGTTGGAAAAGTCACTTTTAAGTTTAGTGGCTCATATTATATCATATCTGCTTATTTTATTTTCAGCTATAGTATTTTAATACACAAGCTACATGATTCTTTTGGTGGATATTTCGGATGAGTCCATTTACCGAAGTTAGCAAATTTTTGCTGATTCTATTTTGCGGCTTTTTCCTGAGGGAATCTTTGCGGATCGAGGGAAATCCACAAAATTCTCAAAAATCAAACGCTCCAAAATATTTATGCAACTCGGCAATAGTTTCACTTACACTTACCAAATAAGTTGGCCCCTTCTATCCCCTATACTGACATTCTAAACATTATTAACAAATCAACAGCAATCAAAGCGCCGCCGAGTTCAAAAGCTTATTACGTCTTATATGGACCTTTGTATCGAAAGAGAAGATATTATACGGCAAATGCAGTCGTGGATCGAATCAACAGTTGACGAGGAGCTTCTCAAACCAGCTCGGATCTTCTTGTTCAGCCCTGATCTTCTATTGGATGATCTGCCTCTTGGTCTTACTTCAGATATGCAAGCACACGGTAACACGTTAGTGCGACTGAAGGGTATAGCTGACTCATTGGGGATTGGGACGGGTTCGATTGAAGACGAATCGGACGAAAGCACACCACAGGTCAAAGGTCAAAAAGGGCTTCGCATCGTGAAACGATTTTCTAATGGTATTTACATTACTAAGCTTATTTCGTTGAGTAGAAAATCTAACAGCTTTTCACTGAATCTACTTGAAACCTTGGTTCTAAATGCGTTTTGCAAGCAGTATGAGATTCTGGCATTTGTAGCGTGCTGGTGGTAAATCCTGACTTCAGTGTCAGAGACAAGAAATCTAATTTCATTTGTGAGGAGGGCGGAGCAAAAGGAAACTCTAATGGCCATACAGTGCAAAACGTAAAACCATGACTCCCCTTCCCCCCTTCCCCCTTCCCCCTTCCCCCCTTCCCCCTTCCCCTCCTCCCCTCCTCCCCCCTTCCCCTCTTCCCCTCCTCCCCCCTTCCCCTCTTCCCCTCCTTCCCCCTTCCCCTCTTCCCCTCCTCCCCCCTCTCCCACTTCCCCTCCTCCCCCCCCTCTTCATGTTAATGGAATGTGCGACCTTTTACCCGCGGAGAACTTTTGCATGGAGGTCAGGGGTCACTTGAGTCAATTTGGTCGAGTCTTAATTTGGTAACAAACATTTGTATTTTAATTTTCTTCCCTGTTGATGATCGAACAAAAGTGAACGAGAAAAGCAGCTTTCTACTGAATAGAGGTTGATCTAGTTTCATTAGTTGTGTAATCTAATTTATCATTAATGTTTTAGTGGACGAACTCGACATTGGAGATAACTGGATCCAGGTCCAAGGGGATGTAGATAAGATTCTTGAGCACGCAATAAAAACTGTTCCTGTGCGAACGGTTCGCCTGAATTTAGAAGTCGCCAGAAAGTACTTTTCATTGATGACAAAATTGATGACTAAGAGAAATGAAACCATTCGTCAGGTGAAGTTTGGAATTTTAATTTATGTGTTACTTCTGGGTTATTTACGAAGGACCCTGTTACACTTCCATTTTTTCTTGCAAATGACATCTTGTATACGCAGCAATTTGTTGGTTGTCACCGTCTTTTGCGAGGATTTCATTGCCTGGGCTAAATGTGTTACTTCTCGGTTATTTACAAAGGACCCTGTTACACTTGCAATTTTTCTTGCAAACGACATACAGGAATAGAGATAAATAGATAAACAGTTTATTTATAATGACTTTGCAACTAGAAAGTTGAAATACACGAATATTACAAAATATAATATCTATAATAACACTATAAAAAGCTATTAGTAGTTTAAAGTAAGTTTGTATAAAAAAAAATGTTTGTACATCTGTTACGTTTGTAAATAAGATATGTCGATTAAATATAAGATTTCAATAAAACAGTTTAGGCTGTAAGGGTATTAAAGGTGATAAAACTGTTCAGAACGACTTTAACAAGCTAACTTAATCCTTTATTGTTCACTAATTTTTCAATTTGGGTTCATAGTTGGACGAGAAAATTGTCGATCTTGAGTGCAATGTAGTAAAATCCAAGAAACAAAATGAAGAATTAAGGAAGAACAATAAAAAAGCCAAAGTGAAAGCTGAAAAACTTCAATACCAGAATCAAGACCTGCAAAACAACGTGGTAAGTACGTCACACAAGTAGCAGGATGTTCCAGAAGCAGCGCAGATGACCCTCGGCCAATCTTTATTTTAACTACCACCACAAAAAGAAAGATACACGGAGCTGTGGGGATCGGGAGGATTGGGGCTACGTGCTGTGGGATGGAGAACGTGGGAATCTACGATTCCACTTATTTAATATCCCTTCTTTGGGAACTAAATCGACTATAACAATGATTTTCGTGTTATTCTAACAGAAAGAACTGCAAAACATGATCAATAACCTCAACGAAAAGTTGGATGCCTACAAGAAAAAAGAGTCACACGGTTTATTTAAAAGCAGCAGTGAGTCCATGGCAAGTTCGAAGGAAAGCATAGAGAGGGTTTCGGTCGTCAGTCTTGTGGATGAACCATCACAGCAGCTCGCTCCAACAGGAGAAAAAGTTTCCATACAGACCCCTAAACCATCTAAATCGAAAGTTGTTATTGAGAGCGATTCCAGAGCTCCAGTTGCTGCGCCAACCAGCGAAGAAAGTAAGAAAGAAATATCTCAGCTGAGAGAGAGATTGGAAAGAATACAGGACGAGTTAAAAGTCGAAAAAGAAAAATCTACAGCTTTCGAAAACGAATTCGTAACACTACAATCAGAAAAAGTGAAAGTCGAGCAAGAACGAAGTGAACTGGAGATAAAGCTGGAAAACATTCAACGGGAACATGAACGGGCAGTGGAAGAGTCGGTTGAAAAATTGGAAGACTTGGAAAGGGAGAACAAAAGGTAATCATGACAAGCTTTCCTCCTTCCCACAGGAATCTAATGTATTTCAGATTACTCGGCGTGAACTTAATTCCCAGCAGTATGGAGAGTTAGGGTGTTGATCGGCCAGGGAGAGAAGAACCAGACCGGAGAAGTTTGAAACTAATACTAAAACTGTTAAACTTATGGGCATACCACCAAGAAAATTGTTCATCTATGGTTAACTCTTTAACTCCCATGAGTGGTTAAGATCGAATTTCTCCTTAAATATCAATACACTATCAAAGAGACAAGTGATGAGAATAAAGAATTGTATCGATTAGGGGATTATTTGTAGATCCAATACCAAATTCTCCAGACTAACATCATGATGACTGTATGGCAGACAGTAAGGAGAACTACGAATGAGATATTGGGAGTGAAAGAAATATTAAATGAATTGAATGACAATCCACACCCACTCTCCACTTAGTAGCATCATCGAAATGTAAATGAATTTGGCCAGAGGCGAGTGTCAAGTCCCTCTTTCTTTTAAGTTTTCGAGGTTGTCGACTGAAATGGGGGTGTTTCGACATTTTTCTTGCTTTGTTTTTGTTACTGTTACTGGTACATAATACAAGTATATTCAAGTATATGAATATATATAAAGAGATTCCTTTTAAAATAAACAGGATGACTGGCGAGATAGAATGCAACGAAGAGATGATCAAATATCAGGAGGAAAGACTCGGTCAGTTTATGGAAGAAATCCAAAGCCTTGAGGAACGAATGATGTCCTTTCCCCCCACTCCTGCGACAATGAGTGTCGCGAGCATGGCGGGGACAACGCGGCGTGAACGCAGGAAAACCTCATTGCAACTGGGTCTAGAGCCACAGACAGCACGGCAAATGGTTGCTAAAGTAAAACAACAGTATGAGGCTGAACTACAGAGTCTAAAAGATCACCAGGCTAAAGAAAATCAACGACATCAAGCTGAATTACGACGTTTGGAGCAAGAACACAAGAAAGACCTGCAAAATATCCACAAGGAATCCTTGCAGTTACTACGGGCTCTCAACAGATTTAAAGACGGTGTCGCATCGCTACTGGATAGGGAGAGTAAGTTTAACACGGTATTTATAAGTCTCTACAGTTACAGAAATGGTATTTCTTCTCTGTGTTGCCGTAAAAGGTTTTTCTTGAAACAAACTGAAGAATTTAAACCCACACCTACATATACCTATAGCTTTCGGTTTTGTCAACTGATCAAAACCTTAATATCATGCGGATTGTGCATGACAGGACTCTAAGAAATTGAGTCCTAAGCAGGGGTGTGGAACTGCGCCAAGTTAGTGAAAGAGACTTATGAATGTCAAATGATTAAGATGAACAAAAACAGAGACAATCACTTAAGAAGTTGCCAAGTTGCTCTCGTTAGCTAGTGGCGTGTGCCATTACCGTGCGTGCGAGTGGCATGGATTGGTGGAAGTCACATTTTGAGGGTTTTTGTCTGAAAGTTGGTATTCTTGTTATTCGAGCGATCAACTTTCAAAAGTTTTTTTGTGGTTGAAAACGAACATGAACAATCAAACAAATGTATAAATAAATAGATAAATAACTAAGGAAATCAATTAGAATTGACGCAAATAAACTTGTAAAGATGCTAAAAATAATCAGTTGATGGTAGCCGAGGAATTGTTTTCTCACGAACATGTCATATTTATGGTTATGTAACCTCTTTACTTCCACAACGAGAAAACATCAAACCCTCTGAAGATTTCACTCGATCAGTAAGAATAAACTTTATCGAATGAAGACGTCGGTAATGTTTTCTTACCGGTCAGTTACAACTGATAGGGTCAGAGCTACTTCACTGAGTACTAAAAGCAATTTTCTCTTTCTTTAATGGATCACGGAGCTCAGAAAAGGCACTTGAAAGACACCATCCGCCCAGCTACCTAACCGCTAAACCGTGTTTGAAAAGCAACTTGACATCTGTAAATAGTTCCTATTTCTTTGCCAAGCGGATGTCCTTCTTCATCTTATTTTCACGTGTTGATCTTTTTCTTTTTCTTTTCTGAGATATGGGTGAAGAGGCGCATAATATTCGTGGTCATGCGCCACTTCCGCTGGACGAGAATTTTGGGGACACACGACAGATGTTAGCGCGCATGGCTATCTTGGCCAATGAGATGCTGATTTCAGTGGAATTACAAATTTCCAGGGGACTCATGAGCAAGCGATTGGAATCAAAGGTAACAACTGAGCAATTGGAAGTTTTCTTCAATAATAACCTCTAGGAAAATGTGCAATGCCATTTGTCTGTGAAAAGTACCTTGTTAGCTACGGTTTCCCATCCGCTTAGAAAGGACATCTGTACAAATCTCCTTCTAATTCGACCGTGCATGCGCGAATATTATGATAACATAGCTTCACTACCTGTTCGCATACAACAGCGTAGTCCTCAGTCGTACCTCAGAGTGATTTGACGGGAGCGTTTACCAGCATAAAAGGGGAGTCAGGTTTAACGTCCTTTCCCCGCGATTTTCAGTGCGACATATTTCTCCCCACCTATTATCGCCTTCTAGAAGCGAATAAACAGGATTTGTTACGAATCTACTCAGTTCTCATTCGTATGGTGAGGTCTGAAGAAAAAACCAAACGGTCGCTGGTATAAGTATCTTTCCTAGGCATTTCGTGAAACAAATGTCTTTTCTAGCTGTGGACAGCAGTGCAGTGATACTATACTCTATACTCAGAGTATAATGTCTGTAAGCGAAGCTTCATAAAAACCGTTAACCTCAAAAGTTAAAATTTAAATGCCCAGGGATGCGATCCGCACACTCTCATAGCTAAGTAGCGGACAGTTTAAAAAACTACCTTATTATTTCTTGTTGTTTTTGTTGTCTTGTTTTACTCAAAGGATCCACATATGGGTCGAATGGATCAGTCAACTGAGAGGAAAATGCCGAGGGATCATGGCTCGATTGCGCGAAGAGGAACACTAGGACAGCTACGTATTGATGGAAAACAACTAGAACTTCATGTGTGGAAACTCTTAGAGGTAAGTTTGAGTAAATGAAAACTAAACTCACCGAATTTTTTCTTTAGTACTCCAGAACAGCTTTTCGTAAAAGTTTTCTTTGATTCTTAAACCTACCGGCCTATATTACTAAGTTGTAAGTTGGTTTATCCGTAAAACGCCTCGAATTTTATACTGCTCCCCGGGCCTAACGTCATAACGTCATTGTAGTTTTGCGCTTAAAATCTCTGGCCTTGTTTCTAAAAGCTTTTTTCAGTGCCTTTTGTTGGTCTCTGGTAGCTTTCGAGGGGCAACGTACCCAACTTAAAATTGAATATTTTCTTTCTGTTACTGAAAATGTTAGGAGGGGAACCGACAAGAAGTTATGGAAGTCGTCAAAGAATTACAAACCAAGGTTTCAGAGGTAGAGCAAACAGTTGAAAAAGTTAAAAAAGTGGACGAGGAGAAGATACAGAAGAAAGAATCACAGCTGCAGAGAGTTTTGAGAAGGGAATCAGAAACAAGAAAAAGCGTAGACGAACAAAAGAGTATTATAAAGAACTTAGCTGCCATTTGGAAAAGCCGCAGAATAGGACAGAAGTATATTCGCCGTGAGGATCAGCAAAGAAACCTGGAACTGCTTCAGCAAGCGATGAAAGAAGATCAACTTTCAAAAGAGTTATACGAGGTAATGTCATCAATGTACAACTGACAACTTTGTATCCAATGAACGTGCTCCTTTAAAGATTGATTCAAGTTGAGAGAGCGTTTAGCTTTTGATACAGCTCACACCCACTTTGGACAGAAGGCTTCTGGAAAATTTTTAGAGGAGTAAAATACGTAAGAACCCCCGTTTGGCTTAAAAATATACAGGAATGTTCGTCCTTGGACATTTTCTCTTCCTGGAAGCCCACAGTTCTTCTCGAGCTCTGGTCCTGGAAAGCGTTCTCTTCTCGCAACACGTTATATTTTCTTGCCAGAAGATTATTGTCTATTCGTTTCCGAGAGACTATCAATTTTGATCCTGAAATAAAGTTGGGTCAAATTCACTTGAAATAAGACTGGGTTATTTGGAATCAGTAGTCTTGACTTGTTGCTCCATTAAGATTGTATCTGTCATTTAATTTGTAGTACTTCTCTCTCTTTTTGTCCCACACATGTTAAGTCTACAACAAAACTGATCAAGCAAGCTATGGATTATCCTCGCAAACGCTTCATTGAACTTGTTGAGAGGTACGTGTATCACCGACGCGTCAAAGAAATACAAGAAAACGTGCAAAAAATGAGGGAGGAATCCAACATCGATGAAAGAGTACTATTGGCTATGAAGGATGCGGAAGAGAGAATGATCAGAGTAAGCTACCCTCTTCCCAGTACCCATATTCACAACGTTAAAAACAACACATATTTTTTTCAATATTATCATTATTATCATTATTAACCTCGGAGGCCGCTTATGGAAAAAGTTATTGTAACCCCTGGCTTTGAAATTACGCCCAATATACCGATACCTTCCTTGAGAGGAAGAGTCGTTTCGGGTGAGGAGCTTGGTTTCATTTCAGCAACGGCTGACTTTCGATCCTACCACTGTTTTTCCACTCTCGCCAAACAAAGAATACACAGTCAACTGACGTAGCGATCTTTACTAATGATTGTCTGTCACGTAGAAGGTAGCCTTCCTTCAAGGGACTCTTGCAGATGTTCTTGTAAGCCCATACTCGTCACAGCCTCATAAATGGCTTCGTGTCGATGCTTTATCTCATACAGCAAAAGGAAACATGGCGGAAGAAAAAGGAAGAGTTCATCAAAGCTCGCGCAGACGTTTTAGAAAAGCTGCATAAAGTGTAAGTGTTCTCCTTTGTCAAAACGCTGCCTTAGATACAGTATCAAATACATGACAATTACCAACGCTTCGTTGACCTTGTTTGATCTTATAACTTCCTATTTGTCTGGATTTCTAATCTTGAATCTGGTCCTGTATTTAAGAAACTTTTCCTGACTCATTTTATTTTTTCCGTTAGAGTGTAGTGTCCTTAATTTAAGTCTGAAATCGCGAAAAATTCAGTCTACAAACAATTTGAAATTAATAAACATGTGGGGATGAACAGTTTGATCGACAGACTTTCAAATAAGTATTTCAAATGCTGCTTGCCTGTGTGATGAGTTTTTCTATATCGGAAATGGTTGACACATTCTCGGGTGATCGGGCATACTTAATTTAAACATCAGTATGTATTTAACAATTACTCTTATTAACTTTTGTCGGTAAGGAAAAGCTTATGATCCCTTTGGAAAAAAGCCCTTTACGAAAATCCATACAATTACTTTCACTAATAAGTAGGTTGAGTAGTACATACAATCTCTCCAAGGGAGGGGGGGGGGGGGTATGCTGAGGACGTTCTCTCAGAATTCTTTTCTTTTCTATAGTCTTACTCAAGTTCATGAGGAAACTGGAATACTTCTTATTAAGCCGAAGGACTTGATTCCACGGCTGGAAGATATTAGAGAGGACGTGAAAGAAATCAAGGAAGACGACATTTCGGCTGCTGCAAACATTCCTAAGCTGCGCGCAAAACTTCGTAAAGCAGAGCTACAAGCTCAAGTGGCAGCAGAGAAGGAACCACCCCTGTCTGATGTGGAGGGTACGTGTGCAACGCGTGAGAGGGGCCAGGAAGCTTCATGGAAGGTTGGAGAGAAAACTTTATTCTCGGATATGTCACATTGTTAATTACATCTGTAGGCGTAAACCAAGGAGTTGAATCAGGGGTCAGGAAGCGAGGGTGTTGCAGCCCTCAGGAATGAAAGTTTGAAAAGTTTCCGAGTTAATGCTGATGTATGTGCGTAAACACTCCCTGCGAGAAACACCCAGAGTTAATAATGTTTGCTTGATGGCCTAAACTTGCCAATTAAGTCTCTATTAAGTCAATTATTCTATCAGTGGTTATAGAAGTAGTTTCTCATAAATTTAGCATCGTGTGAAGTGTGTCATTTTTATCTGCTCTTCTTCTGAGGAAACTGACGTAGGCACGCCTCCAACGACAGCAAAACACAAACAAAGCTCTCTTACTGTGTAAAATTCGAGGCCATTAAGCTACTTTATCTCTTATTTATCTTGCCAAAACTGAAGAGTGAACTTCAGACTAACGAGAGAACTAGATTTGTTTTACAAGAGTTACAAATCGACTGAAGATTTATCATGGAACTTTACATCAAAAACAGCTTGACACAACAAACGAAGCAAACGAAGGATAAGACTTGATTTTTGTGTTGTCTCGGAAAAAAACCGCTACTTTTTGAACGACCATTTTGCGAATTTCCTCTCTGAAAATTGATTGAAGACTAAAGGTGATCCCTGCAAGTCCTCTTTCGCCTCACCAAGAGCTATTACGGACATAGAACAATGCCTCTTATTGTTCTTTTAACACCTCAAGAATTCATAGGCGCTCTGTTTGAACAGAGTTCGGCCTCTGCATTATGTCTTAGGTGTGTTTATGTCTTTACACACTTTGGAGTGATTCAGTTTCAGATCTGCGGATTGTTTGGATCTAATGCGTTTTTCTTCTTATTTTAAAATGCGAGAAAGGCTTGAGAGCTTTTCCCGACTCTGGAGTGAGAAAAGTTGTTATGGAATTATTTAGTAATTAATCTATGTATGATGATTCCAAATTTTAAATTACTTCTAATACTTTCAATAGATGTGGGAATTATTTTTTGGCGTTTTTGGTTTTCATGCTGTTTGGGTGTGTTTGAACCCTGAGTTCAACACGCCTTTTCGTGTGATATTTTGGCAGGGGGGAAAAGACGTATATGAAGGAACCCCTATGTCTGGCCATGTGGCAAAATACAGCTGGACCAAGTCAGAACCGATCAGAACGCTCTGATTTACTCCAGGACTACCTTGCAATATAATAAATTGCATATAATTGTACATACCACACAAGTGAATAGTGCTTTTCGCGCGCGCTGCTTGGCTAATTCGGAAGTTGATATCAAGTACTAACACCTCCGAACAGCCGATGAGACAAAATCGCGCGTCAAGAGTTTAATTTCCGAACATTTTTCGGTATTTTCGTAGAAAAGGTTGTGGTTATTCATCGTGGCGAAAAACAATAAAAGCTAAGTTTTTCGTTTGTCTCACGATGTAGTCACGTGTGATGTAGATCGCGACGTTTCGACTGCATACTACTAGTCTTCTTCAGGCGATGAGGTCGACTGGTCATGCGTGATCTTATAAAGCATGATTCTCTGCTCTGATTAGTTGTTATTCAAAAGCTCTGATCGGTGCATTTCGATCCTTGCTGTTCACTTAGAGATTTGCTCCCTCGGTGGTCCGCTGTCGCACGGCTCTCCTGTTCTGGAGTTTCTTCTAAAAATCAAAATAAAAAAAAAGTTTAAAAAGTAAAATAAAAAAGAGGAAAATTCTTCTAATAGAAATTCCAGAAGTGTGGATGCCCAAGATCAAAAAACACAACAAGTGCTTTATAAGATCACGCATGACCAGTCGACCTCATCGCCTGAAGAAGACTAGCAGTATGCAGTCGAAACGTCGCGATCTACATCACACGTGACTACATCGTGAGACAAACGAAAAACTTAGCTTTTATTTTTCGGCATATTGAAAGAGATAAACTATTTTTTATCTGTGTAGTAAACACTAAGACAGTTATTCACCTCAGCGCCATTGAAAGTAGTAGATATTCACCTCGTAGCTTCGCTTAATATCCACCACTACTCACTGGCAAAATCATTTGAGCTGAAGCCCAACAGGTGCTAGGCCTTCCTTTAAGCAGCGAGACGTTTACACCATGAATTGTTTTCATTTATGAGTTATAAATGTGCTCTAATTCCAGGTCATGTCATCGCTTGCTCCTGTTATGGTCACTACACCAAGAATATTGGACATGGATATCAATCGCAGTCGTGATGTAGCTAAGGAGTAAGTTCATCAGTGCTCGTGCAAATAGAGCTTAGAACGGTCGCTCGTAATACTTTGTTAAGAGAGGCGTTGTTTAACTTGTAAAACGTGAAGGGATAACCAAATCTCACGGTTGTTACGATATCTAAACAAGGGTAAACCAAGGGTAAAAACACTGTTTGATGATAAAATTTAAAGAATAATCACTCGATTGGTACCTGTTATGGTCCAAAATTTTTCTTGCTTTGAAATTTCTTCCAAGTTGACAGATAAATTCTGTATAGACTGCTACTGACTGAGGAAACATGTTAAACCATCCATAATTCCTTTGAAAAGAATTGAAGGATGAACATGTGGACAGATGTTCAGTTCTCCATGCTCTAGATTCTATACGAATTTTAACCCATACAATTTATTTTCACCTATCATGTTTTCATTAACAAACATCTTTCACCTGTAATGAAGTATAATTGTTGAAAAAGAAACGATCATGCTTCACTACGAGTGTATTGACACAATGAATGACGGCAATCTTCTCTAAGTGAAGAAATGATCCTTGCAGGTAATCATTTTTTCCCCTCTCCCGACGTGTAGCCTCGTGGCTCGGATGGTAGTAACGCCCAACTAAAGTCTTATCTGGGAGGCACGGGTTCCAACCTGGATTTTTTCAGGCTTCTTTGTGGCTATTTCTTTAATCAATTTGTAACTCATCCGAGATTATCTTTTTTCCTATGTATTTCATCTATAGGTTAAAAAAACTTATTCATGAAAATTGCGCCCTTTTTTAACAGCATCTTCTACCATTATTTTTTTTAGAATTTTGACCAATGTAAGTGAAGCTTCAACGACGTCCAAATCCGTCAGCATTCCTCCAATGAGGTTTTTCCCTATGCTTTATGGTTACTACAAACAGCCTCACACCGGAATCCGTAGAACGAAAAGCGAACCTGCTCAATCGCGAAAAAAATCTGTAAAGAGCTTCCGATCCAGAGAAACATTTCTTCCTCCGATAGCTACACTTTATCCTGAGAACGACCAGACACAGGATTCTTAATTATTCAGAAAAACTTTTAAAACTGCGATTTGGATTTCGTAAAAACATAGAAACATGTAAAATAAAATTTTCTTTAGTCGTTGCAGACTTTTGTTGAATAAATGAAGAAATACCTGTTTATTGAAGAATAAAGGACAACAGTCCTAAAATTTTTGTTTGAACAGTTCTGACAAAACGCTTAAAAATAAATACATTTTTAAACTATGTAGTTACAGTACCCCACCCCTTTTTGGTACCTCATCATCTTTTGACCCGGATTGAAGTTGTGACATCTGTGGCACATGGGAGATGTCTTGGTGTGATCACTATATTGAATTAAAGCTTGCAGCCAAATGTTACTGGTGAAAACGACAAATGTTACTAGAATGAAACGAGTGGAAAGCCTTTTCATTGTTTATTCTGTTCCGCTCGACAAAGGAGGAGTGTGCCTCATGGCCACTCCATGGCCACCTAGATGGCCACCTTGTCTTGGAGGAGTGTGCCTCATGGCCACCTTGGAGGAGTGTGCCTCATGGCCACCTTGGAGGAGTGTGCCTCATGGCCACCTTGGAGGAGTGTGCCTCATGGCCACCTTGGAGGAGTGTGCCTCATGGCCACCTTGGAGGAGTGTGCCTTTGCAATTCATTCAAGCTACTTCTTGAAACTTAAATGAAGATCCGAGATTGATTATTGTGAAATGACCAATCAAACGTATTTTGAAGTCAAAGTATCCTTCGAAAGGTTACTCTTTTATCAATTTTGTTTTCAACTGCCCGTTATTAAGCAGCTCACTTTACCATCTACCTATAACGGAATTGATATGAGCGAGTGGCGTAACCAATCAGATCAAGATGCAGCATTTGTGATAGGACACTAGTAGATTAACCATACTTGTTTAAGCTAGTCACATTTCCCGTGCATTTGAGAAATTAATTTTACTTGCAATTTTCTATAAAAAAAGATGTGCCAGGGGAAATGCCTCAATCTAAATATATACCATGGCCACGGGTTACTGATAAAGGAAAGCTAACGACGGCAGTTTCGTTCACATTCATTCCTTCAGTGAGGTCAGTGTGCGGAGTAAAACCATCTTATACAAAAATATTAAGCAATAATCAATATTATTTTCTTCAAGGAAGTAATGGTGAATAAAAGCCCTCAACATTTTCAGCGAAAACTATGAATTGTTGTAATAGCTGACAAAAGGAAATAGTTTGTGACGCACGTGGTAAAAAAGAAAAAAAAATCGCCTGCGAAAGACTTTTACGCCGACCTCCGTGGCAACTTAGACTTGTTTATTTTTCTCGGAAAAGAGACAGTTCTCGTCGTCGGAATATGCATCTTTTTCCAATTGAGTTATAGATTAATTCTCCTTATTTCACCTGCTGACAAGAGTGAACTGAAAGATTCATTAGCAGAAAGAAAGAACGGGGGAAGAATCTTTTTTGAAACTCGAGTTTTTAGTGCAAAGAATACTTAAACTTATACTAAGATGGAAAACTAACCTATTTCCGCATCACGAGTAGCAAATGATTGCAAAGATGATGGTGTGAGCTCTATAAGCGCGCGTCTTCGATTTGAAACGATACTTTTTTTTCGTCTCTCGTGAAAGCGTATACCAATGCCTTTACTGCGAAAACGAGCGAAGTAAAGAAATGACGTCACAGTAACAATTTATGACCCAAGTCGCGCGAGCCAGTAGTTGCTAGACTTGGTCCCATGCCCCCTAAATCCAGATTATTTTATCCAATGATTTTTCAAATTACTTAACAAAACAACTTGTTCCTGATTAGTCAATGCCTGGTAAATTGAATTAAGAGTGCAATTTGTTCTTTCCGTATCACCTTGTATCGAAATGTACGATAACCTGTGGAGCATTCGGACAGGAATATTATAGTCGGAAGGGTAGCCTTGAACGTGTCTTTAATTATAGCGCGCGCTACTTGATTTCAGGTATGTTTGGAGCTACCTCAAGTAAAATGTGGTGTCGTTACATAAAAATCAATGCATAGAACACGCAAATCTAGAACAAATTCAGACGTGTGTGTTGTAATAATTAAAACTATATGAAATTGTATCTGACGAGTTCCTTCATAATTTAAAACCTCAACGAGCAAAAACCGTCCTTGGTCATTTTCGATAATACCCAACCCCAGGCAATTTTGACCCAGAAGAAGGGATAACGAGGGTGTTAAAACTTACTCTGGAGTCAAGATTGAAAGCTTTTAGGTCTTTTCTAATCATAGGAAGTTTGACCAATGCGTCTAAATTGTTCATTCATCGGTGGGTGAATGAAAAATTATGGCAGAATTAGCACTTTCACTGCCTGCACCCCGGACGGGCCCTGAAACTCAACCAACCCAAGAAACCAGAAGAGTCAATCCCAAAACAGCCACAGCCCTGCAAATGCGACAGAATCTCATATAAAAAGTTGAATGACAATGGCCCATTGCAAATTTCTTTTCATGCTTGATACATGTATGTCTCAAAGGCAACAACAAAAAAGAACAAAGGCACTTTGGAATATTTAATTGGCCATCCAAGTCCTGTCTCTATCGAACTCCAGGCTTCACACACGTGGCGGCGTTCAGAGAAATAGAAGAGAATGTTATGCGCGCACCAGACGCGAAGGTTCAAATCTAGCGATCGCGAAAACACGAATCAAAGACCTATTGATTTTAACAAGCAGTACTTTATTATCTCATCTTTTGATGGAATAAGACAGATTTACGATGATGTAGTTTGTCGTGGTCCAACACCACCTCCTGGACGCTGCCCTTGAGGATTGTCAGGCTAAAATAATAAGAAAAAAGAAACAATAAATCAAACAAAAACTAAAATCCTGGTGTAAAAAAAACTAAAATCCAGTAATTTGCAATTGTTCAAGTCATGTTTCATCTATCTGAAACTTCAAAAGTGTCATGAAACAATAACAATGCAGAGTAATCATTTAATAGTCAATTCTCTCTCAAAAAAACCCTTACTAAAGGCCCAAGGGTTCATCCATAAATTAAGCTCAAGATAATTGATTATGCTTTTTGTAGGAAGACGAAGTTTCTTCCGTTCTTTCCCTTCATTTTTGGGGGAGGGGAGGAGGGGGAGTGGGAGAAGGGAGACTTGTTAATTGGAATGTTCAGTAACAGTTTGCTAACATCTAAATAGCAAGACTTAGAGAGACAAGAATGGCTGTAAGAGCTGGAGATAACAGCACATAAAGTAAATGACTAACTCGACATACAGGTATATTGGTTCTTTTAGTTTTAAAATGTCACAAGGACCTGCTTGAAATGTCTCATTTTTGAAGGTACCCATCCTAGAGGTATTGCTCGAGGCAGAACATCAAGAGATACTTACCCTACGTGGAAACCTTGGAGGAGGGACCCTGATTTTTCTGTTTTCCTTGGAACGATTCCTCACAACCTTGGAGTGAATTGCGCAGCTGACACAGTAGTGAAGCTTCACATACAGTTTGGGAAGAGCATACACTGAAAAAATAAATTCAAATAAAGTCACCAGTGTTTTGGAAGAATTTGTCAAGAAATTTTACCACTTTACCACTTGTTCTGATTTGAGTTTATATGTCTTTTAAAATTTTGCATCAGGATTCGATTTAGGGGTTCAGTCTCAAATGATGAATAAACAATTACTACTGACTAAATGTCAGTTGACAGGGAAACAAATGCAACAGGAACATTGTTGCATGCCAAAGGCTTTCCTTGTAGTCTGTGAAAAGTTCATAAACCACTGTAGTCTAGAAGGAGATCTGTTCTGTGGTGCTGCCACATTATCTAACATCATTTTGGTATCATTGCTCAGGTGAATAAAGAGATGCAAGCCATCTGATTGGTCTCACAATACTTCCTACATTGTTGTATCTCCCTATAATCAACTAGCAAGAGATAATTATTCCAGGGGTTTTAATCTTTCAGAGCACACTGGCTGCAATTGGCTTTATGCTGGCCATTTTAAGCCATTTAAAACTTTCTAGCCAACAAACATTGACTTGACTACTACAACTTCTACAGTTTAGTTCAGTTTTCACTTTTGCCAAGTGCAGATTACATATTGACCAAGTGATCTAAGTACAAGACCTTATGCATCTGTTCTTTGATGTGTGACAGGTTGGGAGTGAAGAAATAGACCACAATTTATAGTTTTTTGTTTTTGTTTTTTTTTTTCATAATCACCTGTGGAATTACACTGAAACTACTGTTCTCCTAATGGCAAATGAATATGGTTGATCCACTTTGCCTTCCATGAAAACTTTTCAATTGTGTTTTTAATGATCTTTGTTAGTATGAGCCTTTAAAGTGTGATGGAAGTGGTGATAACAATAACTTGGAAGCCACAAAAAAAGAAAGTGACCAAGGCAATGCCATGGATGTCTCAAGTGCGAAAAAGGAAACAAAAAACACTCATACATATTAAGGTTTGAGAAAGACTGTATGATCCTTGTTAGTATTTGAAATACATGAAAATGCAACACACCATTTTATAGTTTTTCAACCTGGAAAACCTGGAAAAAGAGCCTAAATATTCCATAGGAAGTTGTTCCTGGAATAGCTGGATATAGCAGTAACACAATTTCAAACTCTGTGTACAAAAATATATAAATTTATCTAACTTCCCCTGTTTTTCTGTAACAGTCTATAAAGTTGCTAGTATGTCAATTCAGAACATCTTTAAAAGAAGAAAAATTCAATATTTAAAAAAATTTACATAACAATCTCACCTTCGTACACACTGGCATCAGCTATATCCCTGACTGCAGCTGCCTCCACAATATTCCTAATGACAAATTTCTTTATAGCCTTGTCCTTTGGGACACAACGTGCACAGTTTGTACAACGAACAAACTTGACATGCCCACGGCCATGCTTGGAACGTCCACAATTACGCCTCTTCTGGGTCTAAATAATACAAAGCAAAAACACTTGAAGAAAGAATTTCTCCCATAAAGGAGGAATAATCCATCATTCACACTAATATAATACTGCAATTATTGAAATATGACGCATGCAAGATGTTTAGTGAGTAAGAAAGAATCATAAATGTTGCTCATGGTTAGGCTTTTCGAGCACTATTAAACCTTTCCAAGTGCCTCATATTCCAGTGAATATATAGACACAAGAATCAATGGTTTCAAAATGTTTTCTACAGTATGGTGTAGATGTTACACAAAGAGAAATTCCCACCGCAATCTTTCACTACAAACACACACTCATGGGTGTGCAAATGTGTGTATAAAGCAATTTAATATGTTCACGAAGATTTACCAGCTCTATTACAACAAAAGTGAAATAAAGATACCAAACAGCACGTTTTGTCATTGTTAATCATTCAGTCTAAATTCGAGTTAATATGGTATGGATAGTTGTGAGAATTCATACAGATTCTTATAGCCCAGGAAGTAAATGCCTAGTGTACCTCTGATGCCCTCAATTTCAGTCAAATTAACAATTGAAATTTGATCAGTACAACTAATAAAACATCAGGCCCTAGAACGCTCAAAACAAAATATATCTGTATCATCGACTTCCGAAGCAGTTTTATCTGTAACACTAACCTACGAAACTAACACACACTTATGCACACAATACCAAGTATAGCCGCATCGTTTGGCGAACAGAATATCTTTTAGAACTCTTTTTTTAATTGAGAAGTTATATGAAGATGGGAATGGGCTATATTATTCTCCAACGATCGAGAATATGACTTCAAGCTACCAAGGTAAGTGACAACGTGGTTTTACATCCACACGACAAATCAACTTGAACAGCAAAAATTTTCCCTTTCTCAGTGAAGATGTGATGAAATGTAAAGAAACGGGGTGAGAAAATGGCCTAAAATATACAGCATGCTCCTTGAACTAGGCTGAACCTTGATATAACCATGAAAATTCCTCAAAATTTCAGTTACAAATCACAAAGGGCTCACCATTTTAGTCTCAGGGAGAGGAAAGAGACCACTCACATGGAGCCCCTGATATTTGTGTAGGGCCGCCCCAGAATTATCTAATGTAATCGCGGGCTCGCGCAATAATTTCGTCATTCACGTGGTTTTCGAACAAAATGGCTGCATCTTTCCTCAACAGGCTCGGAATATTGGGTATGGGTATCGCCTGTGTCGGCGGTGTTGTCAACACAGCCCTTTTCAACGGTAATATGAATTTTTACTTTGAGAATTTCTCGCATGCTGAGTCTCAGTTTCGATCGGTCGAACTTTAAGAAGCTGATGAGTGCGTTTGACAACTGATATAGCTCGAGTATTTTAACATCTCAGGAATACAACTGAGTTGGTACGTTTGATTTGAAACTCTATTCGGAACTTTTTCAAGGAATCTGATCCATTAGCTGCTAGAACTAAAACTGCTCAATTTTATCCTTTCCTTGCTTCGTTTGAACCCACAATCAGTACTTCAGCTTTAGCATTAGGATGTTAGGATGGGCTAGTTTGCTTGTTGGACAGCACCAGTTAAAGCAGCACGTGCATGAAAGTTTTAAGGTGATTTATATGTTTGAAGAACTTTTCCGAAGAGTTTGTGAGAAAAGTTATCCTGACAATTCTTCTTGAAATAATTTGTTTTACACCAAGTTACATAAGCTTTGTTGGTCAATTGGCTAGTATCAGGTTCCTTTGTCTCAGCAAATGCCTGGCTGATTGCATAAAGGTTTGTACAAACTCTGTATGCAATTTTCTAGTGATTGTTATCAAGATGGCTTAATCAAGAGATCTCCATCATTGAATTTAAGAACCGGCAACATTGATCTTACATTTCACATTTCATACTTTTTTATTCAGTAAATTTTCAGATTATCAATATTACATTGGCTGATCCACTAATAGCCATAGCTAGTCTAAGATGGGTCAATAGTTAAGATTGAGGTAGCTAACTAAACTATTTAAGTTAAATTTCAGTGCCTAAACCAATTGTTCATTTGTTGTACTCTTTAGTTGAAGGAGGTCATAGAGCTGTACTGTTTGATCGATTTCAAGGAGTGAAACCTGAGGTAACAGGTGAAGGAACTCATTTTCTCATTCCTTGGGTGCAGAAACCAATTATATTTGACATCCGCAGTCGACCTAGAAATGTCGCTGTAACAACAGGAAGTAAAGGTAATGATAAATTTGTAGATAGTGCACAATATAAGTGGAACTACTTGAGAGTGGAAGAAGTATATCTACAAGTTATTCTATTTCTAATCTGGGCATAAATTCTTCTTGCAGATTTACAGAATGTCAATATTACTTTAAGAATTCTGTTTCGACCTCAGCCACATATTTTGCCCAAGTTGTACATGAATCTTGGGGAAGATTATGATGAGCGTGTTCTTCCTTCCATCATCAATGAAGTGCTAAAGGCTGTGGTGGTGAGTAAACAGAGTTTTCCTGCTTAAATCACTATTTCATCCCTAGAAACAATCAATTTATAAATTCTTCTTATAGCATGAATACATTGTCAAGTTGGAAGTTACTGGTAATGAGAATAAAGAAAATCATGAACTAAGGGAAATTGCCCTGATATAACTTCCATTCTTTTGAGAAAGTTACAAGAGAAAATACCATTTGGTCATTAGTTGGTACAAGATCAGATTTTGGAAGTGAGGGGGATAGAATATTATTTGATGTTAAATAATAATTTCAGGTCAAGATGATTTTTAACCAGTTTTATATGTTGTTGACACAGAAAAATACTTAACAAGTTTGTATGAACTTCAGTATACACAGTATTAGTGTATAAGATATATTTACAGCTCCCTAAGCACTTCACGTCAGTGGTTATCTTTTTCCCAGTCTGATCCAGAAGTAAAATGTCCTTTCTTCCTTAGTTCAGTTATGGATAGTTATTTAACACAAGTGGATGGTGAAAAACATAAAGTTTCCATGGGCAAATTGACTGCTGTGGAAAATTTTGAGAAGCTGACATTTTCAGCATTAGCCCTTTTCAAAATTTTTGCAAAGTGTGTGATTGTGGTCATTTTAGGCAGTAGTATGAGTGTTTTTACTTGTCTTTTAATACTTAACAGGCCCAGTTTGATGCTGGAGAGCTCATAACACAGAGAGAAGTGGTAAGCATCATTGCTTTGAATGAAGATACTTGTAGGCAGAGAAATATTCCAAGAGCCAAAGATATGCAGTCTTTGAAAACATTTTTAAAAATTATTTTATCAAATGCAGATTTTTTTTAGGGGGGTGGGGGGTGTGGGATGTTAGGAAGTGTTTGGAAATTCAACTTGGCAGTGGAAACATTGCAGTCAAGACTATTGCTTGGCCTGACTCTCACACTGTGAGACAAACAAGTAAATGTTTATTTGTCTATAAAACCATAATGAACAACGACATTTCCAAGGGTTTTTTGTGGTTCTCATTCATGTTAGTATTTTGAAGACCTGGAAACCTACATGTAACATTTTACATTCTGCATTCAATTTGCTGTAATTTATTGATAGTTATTAATAAATAACTATGATTTCAATTGCAGGTTTCACAAAAAGTGCAGGATCTACTGACGGAGCGAGCTGCAAGTTTTGGGCTTATTTTAGATGATATATCTTTGGTGAGGTCTTGCTTTTATGTAAAATTCTAAGAAATAAATAACGTACAAATTGTCAACATACATAACTTAATGTATTTTTCCTTTCAATAACATTATCATATTTGGTATTCAAAGGTGATAACAGATCTGTTAAAAAACTGTCATGCTTTGTAGCAAGGATCTACAATCTTCAATTATAATTCACATTGATAACTTTTTGACGTTGCAATTAAATCTGAATGAGGCACTATTTCTATTTCAGACACATTTGACTTTTGGCAAAGAGTTTACAGAAGCTGTGGAAATGAAACAAGTTGGTGAGTAACTTATGACAAAGTTGGTAATTCTCGGCTGGCAAAGTTGGCAATTCTTGGCAAGAATGCTGTAGACTTTTTTTGTGAGAAGTAGGCAGTTCAATTTTTAATATTTACGTGTGTGAAGATCTTTCAGGAATAACCCCTTCATCAGTTCCAGCAATTATTGCCAAATGTAACCTTGCAGGAGAGCTCGTGTGGTTTGGCTTGTTTTCGCGTTTGCAAAGACGTACTCACATATAATTCAAATTGATTATAATACAGCAAACTGTTTCTCATTACAAACGATACTTTGTCTTGTTGCCTTATAGCTCAGCAAGAAGCAGAACGTGCCAGATTCTTGGTGGAGAAGGTAAGGGGGGGGAATAGGGGCAACTGAAACTAATACAAGTGAAACACAATGGCAGTCCAAGTGTGTAAGGTTTGAAAGACACGAGGGAGGGGAGGAAAGGGGGCTGCACCCCTTGATATCAGGAAAGAATTAATTTTCTAGGCAATTTTGTGCACCTCAATCTCAGAAATGTCTTATTTTGTCACCGAATTATGTTCCAAACAAGTTGCTTTGAGAAGGCTGGATTGAGAGAGAAAGTGATATCAAAGGGGTGGAGTTTGATTTTCAATTTTTGTCTCCAGCTCACATAGGAAAAAAGCCCGAGAAGGTCGTGCTTTGATACGTTAGTTACTCTTCTGCATACAACATCGGCTGGGTGCACACACTGAAAGTGTGTGCGAGTGTTTGAACTTTCCTTCTCAGTCCAGCGGTGTCACAGAATCAATGAATTTAGTAATTTTTGTTAAAATTCACACTTATCTTTGAATTTTCGACACAAAAATTTGTTCTTTGTGTGTTTACCAAAAGTAGTATTTGAATAGAGCGAGAAAGAGAACGATTATATTTTTTTCATTCAAGTTCGGCTCTGGATAGGTGCTGTGTGGAGAGGCGCGATCAAAGCAATGTGCTCTGTGGTGTGCCTAACGTATTAACTGTAATCAACGTCCTTTTTTCAGGCGGAGCAACACAAGCAAGCCACAGTGATCCGGGCTGAGGGAGACGCTAAGGGAGCAGAGCTTTTAGCAGACGCGTTTAAAGAGGCTGGCGAGGGGCTTGTTGTGCTCAGGAAAATGGAAGCCGCTGAGGAAATCGCAGACAAGTTATCTCGTTCAAGAAATGTAGCGTACCTTCCTCATGGACAGAATATGTTGTTGAATCTGCCTGTCGGTCGTCAGTAAGGATATGACGTAGAAAAAGATTGAGACGAAAAACACGGCCATAGCTAAAACTTAAACAGTTAAGAATTGACACTTTTCGGATAACTTGTGTTTCGTCTTGAAATTCGAAGTTAAACTTTCAAGCTCAAAAAAAATCGCACCAAAAAGTGACGATGAAATTCAACAGATCCTAGCAATGATTTTCGTGGGTGAAACTATAATATTGAACTACCTATCTAGGTGTTTCGTTATCAGCTTCCACATGTTAGTAGTTGGATTTCAAAGGTTTTTCGGGGAACGAGTTTTTCCTGTAAGTTATCTGTCGGTGAGGTAAATATGTGAAATTGCACGATTTGTAATGAATCAACTGATCAAAAATATACACGCCTCTTTCAATTATTGCATGTTTCTTTTTGTTTTTGCTTCTGTGTTTTAATTATCTTGACCTCGTCTCTTTATGTTTCTCGGTAAGTTTTCATCGCGAGAAACCCCGCGTAGCCTACGTGCACCCTCCCCCCTAAGGGGTTCCCTCGCCTCCCTTTCAATTGTCGGGGAGGGTATGGCTACTCATAGGCTGAACCCCGCGGAGCACTCTGACTTAGATCTCGTACTTGTTCTTTAGAGTAAAACACTCCTGCCATAACCCTAATCAAACCTAAAAAAAAACCCTCTTAGGAGACAAAGAAATGGATGGACTTAGCATAGAACTGATCCATACGGTAAGGAACCAATGCTCAAAACTGAATCCCTGAAATGCCCAGAGCCCTTAATTTCATCGATTGATCGAGCTGTTCAGGTCCAGTGACAATACACGCTAATAAACCAAGAAAGTAAAACTGTTGGCGAACAAGAATACCGTATAGTGCAAACTTGAATAATTAGGACGATGAAATCAATGATAAAGACTTTCATCGACACGTATCGACCAGGTAAACAAACTTTGGTGCTAAAAATTATCAGAACAACCTCGCTCCTAAAACTGAGAGAGGATTTATCTGGAAAAGAGTTCCGCGTATTGAAAATGGTGGAAGAAGCTCTTTATTCTTCTTTCTTGTTCGAGCAACTCTAAATGCATTAAGTGGTGTTGTATGTGAAAGCCGTCTCCGCTGTGAATGCTACACTGTTTACCGATTCAATAATTGTTTTGAAACCACACTAGGTATCTGTTGGATGTAAGGGACGTTTTGTTGAGTTGATTGTGATGTTGGTACCACAACTTGGGTTTCATTTTTCTGTAGAGATAAATTTTTGAGTCGTTGCGAGAAAACGTACACGACGCTAAAATGATCCTAATCAGTGTTAGGTCCATTGGTGTCGACACGGTCAGCAATGGCCGACGAGTTGTCATTTTTAGCGAGGGCCTTGAATTGCTCAGTCAATCTGTCATGCAGTCCTTGCTTTGTTCTACCGATGTAAAAAAACGATTTCAGCCCTTCATGACAAAGGACAAATAAAGGAATTAAAAAGCATCTCTGTGTCGCCGGGAGAGAAAAGTTCGCGAAACCATGAAGACCAGGTTTCCCTGAAAAATAAAGAAGCACGTTACATGTTTCGGGTAAACGACAATAACCCATGAGACTAAACGGAGTTCATTAAAAATGAAATAAGCTGAAGCTGAACGCATAACGAGATTGTCATGGCTTATATTATTCAAAATTTGACGACTTAACCTGGAATCTTACTCGCTATTAGCCGCCGAAACGTTATTTGTTAATCCCATTAAGCTGACCTTATACCTGACACAGGTTGTGTGAAAAAGAAGACACCTCTATCATCAGCTGGATGTATATTTAGATACCCCTTGTTTATAAATAGCACCTTTTGGTGGTAAACAACTCTCTTAACTCCGTTTAGTTTAGAGACCAGTGTGTTGCTATCTTTAGCAAGTTCTGTACATCATCAATTAAGTTATTTTTCAGAGTAAACACTTCGTCTTAATTAAGCATGATTTTCACCAGGGATAAATTCGCGTCTTGCTGAAATGCCATGGCGATGGTGCCATTGATGTTTTGTGTCTTCTCTCGCGGGGGAGGGACGGGTTTGTCTCAAGTGAAGTGACTAAGATGGTTGCCGAGTCCTTCAAGATTTAATTGTTAGCAACATTTCAGTTGTTCTTGTTGTCCTGTTATAAAGCTTGCACTTATTGCCAAAGCCATTATAAACAATACGCGATTTTTATAGGCCAATCTTTTCCGCAATCCTAGCTATGGCAGTAACACGATGATGGCATTGGGTCCTGGCCTCGTTTAATAGCTAGAGATCGATAGTTAGTATCGCTAGTGTCGTAACAAACTTGCGAACACAGCTATGAAAAGACTTTTTATGGGCCTTAACCCTTGAGCTCCCAACATCTCATTAGTTTTTCTCCCTACCGTCCCCTTACAATTATTATGATTTTAGTTTGGAGAATTTGGTACTGGATCAACTAATAATCCACTAATTAACATTTTTCTTTATTCTCGTAACTTATCTTGTTGGAATTGTATTGATATTGTAAGGAGAAGTTCTGTCTTGGTCACTTATGGATGTTAAAGGGTTTAAAATAAGATCTCAAAAATTGAACGACTTTTTGAAACCTGTGTAAGAACAAAAGTAAGAAAGAGGGCGTTGTCCTAGACACGAATTCGAAGGGAAAATCGCGTCTAGCGTTTTAACAAAGCACTCGTCGCGAACTGTTTACAGATGACACGGAATTTGTCATAATTGCCTTCTAATTTAAGGCTCGTTCAAGTGTTCTGCTTAAGTTGCTTGTAAACCAAGACGTACTACACGTCTAAAACGTTTACGCACTTTCAACACGTGAAAAAATTCACTGCAAAAATGATATACGATTTTGTTTTTATTTATTTATTTTCTGTTTTTTTTTTCTTTCTCGGAGAAATTAGCTAGACAGCTACTCTTGTAAATCTGACGTGAAATAAAGGTGATGTGTAATGTGTGATGTGTGGTGTGTGATGTGCAAGGGTTAAGTCTGTTCAAAGGTACATAATGAGTTAGGTTACAACTTCAAACAGCGTTTAGGATGTCTTACAATTACTGTTTAACTCAGTTTTGCGAGACCTTGGTGAATCTTTCCTCAAAAAATAAACAAAACTGCATCAAAGAAGACAGAACTACTTCTTTAAAAAATGCACTTCACAATCACGAATGCCAGAAGCAGCAAAATCTGGCAGATAACACGTTGCTCAGTGGTAAAAGTGATTTTCCATGAGAGGCATGAACCACAGAGATTTCAATGCGGACGCATAAAAAAGATTATTCTTAATCCATCAGTCTTAAAGAATCTACAAATTAACAACTCATCTGATAACTTTCACAGTTCTTATAATTTTCGTTCGTCGAAGATTGCTTTTAAGACTGCTAACGTCATCACGAAATACAGAACCACGCTTATGTGACGTCATCCACAGTTTAGAGTCAAATTCGACATCAAGTTAAAGTCAAAATATTAAGTTATCACTTTGGGTTGACATAAATAAAGAAATTTTCAAGATACACCACGAATAGGTACTTTATCGGTTATATTAAGTGCGCAAAAGTCATGATTGGCCGCCTGGAGCCAAAGTGTTTCGCCCTCACCCATAGTACAACAATAACAGCAAGTAAACTGCGGTTCATCATTACCTTTTTATCGAGATTTTTTTAACATTCTCCGCCATCATTTCTTATTTAATGCATTCCGAGAAAGCCCAAAATATGTCCTAATTCATTTAGCGGAGGATTTATAACCAACATAGAGATTTCAGGACCAGATATGTCTTCAGCGTAACAGTTCATTGGACCGGATTACCCCCGTCTTCAATTCGACAGGTTATCGCTTTTGCAACCGTTAAATTTCATCCAAAGATCAACCGTTCAAACACCTGTTAAGCACCACAGGTTGACGACTTTAACACTTAAAAAAACTCTTCCTCTCGAAAGTAAGTCCCTCAAAAAATAATAGCCAAAATAGCCAAAGAATCATTGCAAAATTATTTTCAGGGAAAAAATTTTAAGTGGAAGGCTCCAGGCGAAAAGAGTGCGGGAGTTCTTGTCAACATGTTAATGTTCATATTATTGACTCTGCACTTGGCTACTGAGGTAAATATTGTATTTAATCAATTTTAGCGTGAGCCTTATTTAAAGCCTTTTGCTTATAAATGTTAATGAGTTTCTTATTTTTTTCCCCATTTGGCGAAAAGAGTTTTTCTGCAGCTCATCAAAAGAGGCGAGGAAAATCTATTTCCCGTAAGTTGGATGATTTGACTATACATTTAGATCAAGGCTACTTTGGTTAATTTTATATGAAATATTCGGAATTTAGGGTTTAGGCCCAAAATTATTTGTTTTGGAAAGAACGTAAAATATCTCTATAAAAACAAGCAAAAGTCTTCAACTTCTACTCGAATGATAACAAGCTCGTTTTAAAAAATAACAGCTGGCGGAATAAATAATTCATCTACACAATGGATATTAGGAAAATCAAGTTAGATGTATACGTTAAGATATTTCAAAATGACCTACCTGCAGTGTGAAAAATTAGCACAGGATTTAAATTGTTCTGCCTCCTAAGAAATAATACCTAACCTCATCGAGATACCGCTTTTCCACTTGTTTAATGTAATTTCAAACTGCTTTTTTCAAGCTGATGGTCTTCGTTTCAGTTGCTAGGATATAAGCTCTTAGCTGCCAGTATATACCACACCCGCTAAAGAGCCCAATTCCCGCTAAAATCTCTAGAGGAAATGAATACTTACTGAGTGCGTGCATTCAAAATCAATTACTCTTGGTAAAAACTGAAGTAAAAACCGTACTAAATGTAGAAGAGCGATCTAAAAAATGTTGGAGTTTTTCGTTCTAACTGATCTAATTTTCGTATTCTATAGTCAACCAACACGGACCTCGCCGCAGTGGTATCCTTGAAATGGTGCAGGCCATTCCCACATCGACCACACCCACTAATTATGTTTTCATGCATCAAAACTCGACCGTGCCCTCTACAAAAGATAAAGGCCGAAAATTCGACGCTGTCAACAAAGCACCCTCCAAAACAAATTTGTACTCTGTAGTAAACGAGAAAAAAGTGACCAACGGTGTGTCTGTTGTTAAAAATGCCACAAACGGACTGAAAAACTTGACGACATATTCATTTGCGCAACCGAACAGTTTTCCACAGCCAACTAGTATTCCACCAATCGATACAATGTCGGAAGCATGGCCAAATCCAATGGGATCGATCGATAACGAAATGGAGGACATCGGAAGTCCAACTTCAATGCAACCGATTGCGAACGAGATGAACGATGAAGAAAAAATACCTGGTATAGCTGATATTTCCGACATGGAGCGTATTCCGTTAGACTTTCAAGAAGAGGAGCCATGGGAAAGGAGTCAAGCTACTGCCAGTCACGTGACTCACAGTCACACCACGCACGGTCTTGATGGTTCTGGTGTTGGCCATGCTGCGCGTAGGCATGTTGTTCCTGCTCCGCGTAGACGCAGGATGAAGTTAGATGTTAAGGACTGGAATAAAGTGACTGGTGCATATGTGAGAAGGAGGGAGCATCATACTCAGAGAGGTCAGCTGAGAATCTGGAGTACTACGCCTAAAGCTGGTCGGTTGGGAAGGAAAGGCAAGTTAAAGTTCGAGAATGAAATTCTCCCAATCCACAAGGTTAGAAAATTCACGATGAACAAAACCTGTCCTCCCTGTTCGTTTGTGAAAACGAGGAAGTCGAAAAAGAAAATGTCAATTCCACCTCCCAAACCTATCGATCCAATCCAGCCATTGCTTGAAAAATTTGAAAAAGAGAAAGAAGTCAGTGATATTAAAGAACACACAGTGGACATTGAAAAAGTTCAACCGAATGAAGCAATTGATAAACATCTGAAAACTTTGGAAAATCAGCCAGACATCACATCAATTTCTGAACATCTTTCAAAGGAACAAATTCAAGATATCGTGCCGATAGAAAATCATCAACTAGAACTCAAAACAAACTAAGGAATTTTTTTTGGATTGAAAGTTTGAGGAAAAGAACCTCCTCTTGTGTCTGCACAAAAACACTCGATTCTTTGAAAAACCGTCAAAAACCAGGGGCGTTGTAAATGATTTACAAATACTGGTTTATGAAAAAATTTTAATCGGCTTAACATTGTAAAGGAATGACAGGAACGGTTTCAAGGCATAGTGCAGTTTTTCAGGCCTCTGACTATTTCACACCCAGTCAAAGTGCAAATTATCAGTGGCTTCTTCTGACGTTACTTTTCAAACAGCTTCCGCATGCGTGGACCTTAAGTGAGACGTGAATGGTAGCCAGGAATAGAGTGTTTTTTCCCCCGGCGCTTGTCGCGAACGTTTCATCGGTAACGTTAAGTAGCGAAAGGACACACGTGGCCTTGTGACTGATTATCCTAGATGAGCCAAATTAGCGAACATGAAAGCCAGTGTTTTTGTCAACTGCAGCTTGCTTCTCAAAACTCGTCCGAATCACTGGAATCGGATTGCCGTTATCTACTAGTATGGATTTGTCTACCTATGCACCATAACTCAAGCAAATCTGTGTAATTACTCATCTCCTTACAGTTCCAGTTTGATGAAGAATTCACCGAAAAAACTTGAAGATTGGTTCTTGTTCCCACTAATACAGTCATTGTTCAAGTTTCTCTTTCCTTCAACTTTGATACTCACTTTACTACTCACGATACTCACGCTTATAGGGATTTCTAAACGGTAGCTTTGGGCATACGTAAACGATTACATGTAAGGTGGCGTAGTTGCGCAGGAATTTTGCAAAAGATAGATAAAATTTCAAGCGTAATGCGCGTGTTCTCTACCCTGATGATGGTCGTTCCTAAGTGACCACACAATGAAAGCAAAAGTCCACTTGGGAAACTGGATTTCTTTCTTTGAATGATAACATGAACTATACTTCTATTCTGTCGATGATAGAATCCAATAGCTGCATCACATCCTTGTCCAGGCTGTCATCGACTCTGGGTTTTTCCGCTTCTGTTTGCGCCAGGGCCATGTTGTTATTATTGTTTGAATCATTGTCGTCCTGTGTTTTTCCACCAAGTGTTTTCGAAGTTGTCTCCATGCCAGAATGGCTTGCTGTAATAACAAAAAGTGACAAATTTTATACAAGTGTTTCTGTGAATATCTAAGTATGGAAAAAGACACTCAGAAATAAGCTTTTGATGTGCATTATCGTTTAAAGAGGTCGAAGACTTCTAGGTAACCAAGTGGTCAGTGGGTGAGTGCCAGTATTTCCATCGTAATCCTCCAGAATTAGCTTCGCTTATGTTTTTTTTTAAAGGAGTCATGTTTTATGAGACCAAATTGAGTCTTTAAAATCATGGAGTCTGACAATAAAAGATCGCGTTCTCCAGAATGGCTCCTTTTTTAGGTTTCAGGTAGTTTTACAGACAATATCTGTGCTATTTTTTAGTATTAAGGTTTTTCCCATCTATAAATTCAAACTCATGCTACCTTCCTTCCTGTTCTTGTCAGCTACACCAAAGGGAAGATTTACGTGTGGTAAAGACAACCTACTGCTACAAACAGTTAAGTCTATACTCGTCGCTCGTCGTGAGAGATTAGCTTCTGGGCAGAATCGCCGAGATACGCCTGTATGGTGAACAAGATTGAAAACAGCTTAATTTGTACATTGAATTACAAGGAAGGAATTGAGTTCTTAGCTTTATTTGTTGATTAGGGTCGTGCGCTATGGCAAATAAAAAGTGTAATTCATAGTTTTTAGACATATTTTATCTTTTTCATGTTGTCCAGTTGCTGTTCAGAGATGACGAATTACGTCATCATTTTGTAAGAGAGAAGAGGTATCTGTCACACAAGCCACAGATGGACAATACTAGTGTCCGCGCCGAATTTGACGTCACAAGTGCTGTGGTGCAAGGGAAAGCAGGTGTAGAATTAGTTTTGGAGTTTACCACATGAAATACACGGGGAGCAAGAACTTACTTAGGGTTCTCCTGCTGGGGCGTTTGCCTCCACACACACTCAGCGCCATTTTGAACACAAATAAGTAACCTCGTCTGTATCGCTGGCTCATCCAACCGTACAGCGGAGGATTGACGACAGCATGAAGTAGAGAAATAACACTTGTAAACACCACAACTTTGGTCACCGGCTCTCGGTCAACAATCAGACAATAAAGGTTGTATAGCTGTGAAGGATAAAAGATTGAATCAGGTTAGTTTGTTGATGCACATGCAATAGTTAGTCAAAACAGTGGTCAATACACCTTGAATTAAAGAAACTTGAACGAATTTATGTCAACGGTGGCAGGTGACCTAGTAGGAAAATTCTGTTTTTTAATTTGATCAGTAAAACTGAGTACGAGTCCTCAGTTTTTTAATCTAATTAATTACAAAAGTCAGACTATGATCAGATTGGGTTTTTGATATTGGTTCGTGATTCTCTCAGTTATCAGATATGAACATGAAAAGTTTTACTCGAGGTTGTGTTTTTTTTTTATTTCTGCGCCAATGAACAAGAAAGATCGCAGAATAGTGGACAAATTTTATATGATGACATAGACTTAAGAGTCCCTTTCTTCAAAACGAAGATCGCAAATATGTGACGTAACTTTCTCTTTGTGAGACCTTCATTCGGTATTGTCCGAATGAAGGCGTTCGATTATTAAAGCACAGACAGCTTATCATCTTCTGCATAATTTAAACAGACCTTTATGTCGCATTTTGACATATTTTCACATGTAAATTCAGAAAGCAGGCATTCTTTCAATACCAGATTTGGCGATCAAGCATAACCGCGAGTTACAGGTTTACGTACATTTACATTTACATATATCATCTTGCAACATCTATAACACACATAGTCGCAAGCTCCTAACTAGTAACTAAAGCGCTACAACTAGGAAATATAAAAATAGGAAAAAAAAAACAACAACAACAAAAAAACTAACTAATATATGTACCATGATGTAGATTTCGCATGTTCGTTACATAACTTGACCAAACCAAGAGAGCGAATTCTTAAAAATACGAGTCTCTCTCCAGTCTTATCAAAGTTCAGTGAATTAAAAAGGATAGAACCCTGTCTAACATAACAAACCGCGCCACAAAATACGAAGCAGGCCCACAGATTCCTTTGGCAAAGACAAATGTTAATCGCTATGTCACGAGCGTGGGAGAAAGCAATTTTACCGGCTCCTAATTGCTATGGTACTCCCTGATACACTCTTTTAAAAGTCAATCTTTACCCTCATTGAAATCGCGCTTTGAAATAAATCTCTCACTCACCTAGCCTGGGCGGCCTGTGGCTTATCTTAAATCAACGGTTCCTGTGCTAAGCACAACCACAATTAAAAATGCATTACGTAGAAGGATCGATAATTGAACAGATCGTTTTGTTTTGACCTGTCGACGGGCAGACAAAGAGTCCACTAGGTTACCTTTGTTAAGCCGCTTAGATGACAATATTTATACTGCTTCTACGCAACCCATATTGAAAAACATTCGACTGATGCGTTCTTGTTCCTCAATAAAACTGAATTTGATTAACTTAAAGATGTTTCAGCCGCAATCAATATACAATATACATTACTTTAGGAAGCCGTAATTTGGGAGTTATCAGACTTTCGAATGCAGTCATCTTTACGAGATGGATCTTTTGTATACTAATACGTCTGATCGTACAGTCGCCTGCTTTAACTGTGGCATTGACTGACTCTTTAACTTTTATATTAACACGGCGTCGGTGTTAGTAAGCGGTCGTTCGATTATAAACCGAATTACTGACGATATATTCACACTCAGAATCACCACTTAAGATACTAGTAATCATACGAAAGGGAAAGATTATCTTTGTATTTTGAGGAAGCAAGTCTGCTTGTCAGGACTAGAACTATTTGTAACATCTGAAGGTTAATTGACATCTTTCTCAGTTCACATCCCAAATTGATGGCTGAGAGACGTGCGCGGAGACATCAAAAGCACACAAATGATTTTGGTAAGTTCAATTTGGCGAATAGCAACCGGCGATTGTGACTAAGAACTCAACAAAGGATTCAATATTAACCAAAGAACTTGTGTTTTCTTGTTTTTACACCTGCTTACACAACTTTGGCTTAAAGAAAGCCTTATTAAATCGGTTTTCAATGTCATTATTTATCACATTTCAAATGACTTGTTCACAGAAGTATGATTAATTTTATTATTTTTTCCTCAAACATTACTCACCAGGAAAGGTAACCAGCTAATGTAATAAACAACTACCACTATCGTCATCATCTTCGTCAGCTTTCTGATATTTCTCACACCGCTTGTTGTTCCCAGCGACTTTAGTTTATCTTGGCAATTTTGAGTGCCATGAGGTTCATTTTCACCGCCTCCCGACATAACAGTTTGTCGCTGAATAAACATTTTTCCTGAGAGTTTGATCGTAAAATAAGAAACCAACACCGCTATCAATTGTAGTGCACCAAGCACCTCCATGTAAATGGCATATGCTTTGCCCAAATTGTAAATCTGCGAAAAACACTCTCCATTTCGGAATCCTGAATGTCCGACTCCAATGAAGGGTAAAATAGCGGAAAATATGGAAAAGAGCCAAACTCCAAGCACAAATTTCTTCATGCGCGAAACTGTTATGAGAGTATGATGTCTAAAGGGCTTTACTAATAACATGGCGCGTTCTAAGGCCATTACCGTGACTGTGGTTGCCGCAGCAAGTCGAAATGTATATACGAAACCTATAAACAAATTGCACAAGGTTTCTGTCATGTGTCGTCTCATGTAGTATTTCACAGTCGTTAAAAGCTGAAGTGCGGCAATCGAATCCAAGATATCTGCTAAGGACAGTGAAAATAGCAAAACGTCTGCAGGTGTCCAATTTCGGTAACACGCAAGTGCTGTAAGGACTAACACGTTTCCAAACACTACCAGAACAATGGCAGACTGGAAAATTAATCCAAAGAAAAAAGGGTTGAGATTCTCTTGTGTTTCTGGAGATGTTGTGGTGCTGTTCGTGTTGTTCCTAAGAAATCCGGTGATGTTTTCACTTGTGTAAGCAGCTGTTGTAGAAGTCGTAGGATCGGGCCATGGCGATAAAGTCAGGTTGTTCCACAAGGACGTATTCATTTTCTCGGAGGATTCTAGGTTTCGGTTCACTGGTTCACTGCGTTCAATTAGAAGTAAAGTGTTTGTAATGCACGCATGCCTTAAATTAGCCTGGAAGTTTTTGCAGTTGTGTAAACATTCGAGCTTCATAAATTTCCGCCGATATTAACGTAAATTTGAATAAAATTAATAGTTCCCCCCATGAAAAAAAACAATCGCAGCAGGAGATCAGAACGTCACACCGCAAAGCATCTGGTAAATTTCGAGGGAGCTATCTATAGTATAAATTATTTCTTAGCTTCCAGTTTATGTAACGATTTTACAAGAGTCACTTTTCAGAATCTTCTTTTACCCCCAAAAGAAGCTTTTCACATCCAGCTGAATCATCATTAACATAATAAAAAGGATATTTTTGTATACGTTTTTATTTGTTTTGAGTTTCAGCTTGTTTACACGAAGTTTTCGCAACTCTTAAAAAGCTTGTAAAAATGACAAAAGTGAGAAATATGTCATTGTTAATACAGAGCTGTGTTGATAAAGTCCAATGCTTAAATAAAAGCTATTTTGTTTCATGTTACGATTTAACTGCAAACTAGAAAACTCAATCGAGAGAGAATCTAATGGCGTATCCAAACGTTGATATGTGTATCATCTAATTTGCTATCGCATCATGCATCACATGACTTTGAAGAGCAATTCCTGACAAGCACATCCGTCATTAACGTTCTTCTTGGCGTAAGAAATCTTAGTGCAAGGTCAAGTTGAAAACTTTGTTGTTAAAGATGTAAATTGATGAATGTGGTTTCCATTCATATCTTTACCGAAGGCTGGCAGGTGCCTACCTAGAAGCCCCTCCGAGAATTATGCCCTCTGGTGATCTCATCAAATGCGGAAATACTCAAACAAGTGACACGCCATATTGCGGTCAAACTTGTACTTATGAGGGGAAGAAAGGCTCGATACAACGTTCGACTGATGCTTAGTCCTCGTTTCCTTCTTCATCATAAATTTCTGCAATTCCGAGAACGAGATCTCTCATTCTTTTCCTCCCCTGTTTTCTCCAATTTTTTTGGGATATAAATTTGCATCACGTTTGTTTCACTCTAACTCGGTTGCCCTCGCAGCACGAAAGTCATGTGATCATGCTGTTAGTGACTTTGTTTTATCATCCTGTGGCTTATAATTATACAGTTTGAAGTTAGAAATGTAATCATTAAAATTAAATGACATACAACTGGGAAAATTTAATGCAGCCATTCCATGCGCGCTTATCAAAGCAGAGAATTGTGGCGTCCAGATCGGCGCTATATCCATTTTGATGTAATTGTTTATTATCCTGAAAGAGCGATTTTAATTAAGTTGTAATATATCTTTGCGCATATCTTTTTATGGATCGGGAAGGAATTTAGTTTTAAAAAATTGAGGCTCCCAACTGCAGGACAGGTTTCTAGAATTGTAGTTTTCACGACGTATTTATCTGTATTTTAATTTTTTGCGACGCACACTCTACGACTCCAGTGTAAGACGCGAAGGCGGTGTAACGATTCCATATCTCGTGATTTATGAGCAAAATCGATGTTTTATAAGATTTCATATTTGCACGAACCGTTCAGAACATCAGGAGTGGCCATGAAATTAAAAATTCTCGCTTAGTTCAAACAGATCCTTTTTTGTTATTTTCATGCCAAAATCCCTTTCTAGCCCTTTTTTACTCGATCTACTTGTACTGACACAAATCGAAAATTGAACTCAATTGAAAATAGTTGGATGCTTTTTTTGATCAGGTTGTTCGTTTACAATAATTGTGACAGACAAACCGAGCTGAAACATTCACGAAGTATTCTGAAAAGACATCTTTCATAAAAGCAAAGTCCGGAAATTCCGTATTGCTGTCTCTAATATTTTATTTATAAACTCACCAGTGACCAACCATGAACTAGATAGTTGATTCAGTTTATGATAAGATCGATAACTAGATGGTGTTTGCTGAATGATTATTAACAGTTTTTAAAGTAAAGTTTCCTCTAGAGACAGATCAGTAGATATACCTAAAAGCTTCCTTCATCTTGGCTGAAGCCATCCCTCTTTGCTCTAATTGACAATGTTTTTAAACAATGTGTACTTAAAAAGTATACATTGTTTTTGTGAGATGTTTTGACGGCAGACTGGCTAGATTCGCATCCGTGTGCAAATAGTGACAGTGTTCTGTTTTCGTCTGCAAATAAGGCAGCCAGAGCACTAGCGATCAGGAGAAATAGGAGGTAAGTTGAATGAGAAAGGAACGTATTTATAAACAATATATGTGTGGAAATTTCCTTCAAGTTTGTTAAAAAGACTATGCTCTTCAAAGATTGAGAATAGTCGAGCTGATAGTATTTTCGATTCGTGTTGATCGTGGTTGGTTAATTTTGCACTAGAAAAGATTATTTGGCTCATGGCACACGAACAGTTAGTCTACCACTCAGAATATTGGACTGAAGGATAACTCAGGTAAATCGTCAACGAATGAAATTAGACAGGTAACGTCAAGGATGCGCCATTTTAAAATTCACGACTGCGCGGAATATTAACGAGGGTGTTTCCCATTCGGCGAAATCTCATATACCGATTTTTCTCTCGGGAAATAATTCGGACTCAAACTTTATCATTTTTTTATTAGACATGCGTCGTGCTAGTGCTGCTTTTATCCTCAATTTCTCTTACGTGAGTTTTTTTCCCCGTAACTTTCTATCGACTTTGTTCTTCCGATTATGAAGAAAAATGCGTTATCTTATGTGATGGTTCAAGTCAATAAGTTTTCTGCGAATAGCTTGTCTGTCTCCACCATCTACCCGAGAGACATCTAAATTGTCACAGAGCCACAATAAAACAAATTGTTATTGACTAAAATCATAACAAACTTGCTAGAGCCGGATGTTAGAAATAGCTCATCCCAAACACCTTCCCTTACAACAAATATGTGTCTTTTTTTCGGGTTCTTAGAGTTATTGTATCATGCTATTTTTTCCTCTATCCAGCTGTGCTTTATCAAAATTTCCTCTCCCACTCCCTCACCGTCTATATTTCTCGATCTTTGACACGACATTTTTCAGTTTTCTCCATTCGACCTCCTGAATTTCAACATTTTTCTCGTTTTGAAAGGCGTGTTACAGCACAAAATGATAGAAAAGGCAGGTGTGAAAAAAAGTTGCTTGGACCTGGTTTATTTTAGTCGCACCAATAGAATTGTACATAATTTATGAAAATGAGTCCTGTTCTGCATTTGATCTCTCGTTCCTAATTTACGGTTGTTTCGTTCACTATGATCATCACAGTTCACTATTGCTGTTGATAAACTTGAAATAAAGAAATGATAACCAAGGTAATGTGGACAAATAGAATAGATGTGGAAAACCTGAAAAAGAAATTGATCGGTAATGGTGCAATTCAAACCCACGACCGTCCTGAATTAAAATTCTTTCAAGGATTCCATAATAAATAGAAAATTTTCATAGATTCTCTTGATGTTTTCATAAATAAGTAATGTAAGTTAGCTCGGCTTGGTAGCTCAGCTGGTGAGTGCGCTGCATCAGTTTATCTAGACGGTCATGAATTCCAATCGTGTTCAAAGACAATTTTTTTTCAGGCTTTATCTTTACAGTTACTTAGATATCTACATGAATGCAGTTAAAATTCTTATTGTGCAGTTCAAAATAATGATAATCATTATATTTTCCCTATCATTGTTCATGGACAGTTCTGCTCCTCCCATCTTAATTACTCAGGAACAAGGAGATTGTCTTCAATAGACTAACTTGCACAGTGTTTGTCAAAGAAGTCAAATGAAATAAAAAAATAGCCTAAGGAAGGTGTCCACATGAAAAATAACCTTTTTATACAAAAGTTCGTCTGGCGCCAAGTTCGCACACCAATGTTAAGAAGGTACCTCAGGGAAACTGTGCCATATTCTAATTATTTAAGCTTTTTTAGTGTTTTTTTTTTTTTAATTTGGGAAGCAAACCCTATAGACGCATGCACCAAAACAACAATGACTATATCGTAACTGCGTAGCATTTCCAATTTAGACCTGATAATCTCTTGAAACACCATTATGTATTTAACATTCTAACATTTTTGTTGAAAAGAACCATAAACAGCTTAACTACATGTAGCACAGAAAAAAAAATGTTGAATAAACTAAACCAACCAAGTATTCACCACCGACAATTAAGCCTACACAACGTATTTGTCGAATAATTATTCATTCGAAACTTAGTTTGTAAACGAATAGAGCAGGTGGAAGAAAACACGTTTAAAAGGATCTGTCAATTAGCAATTATGGCTCTCTGTCTCCTTATTAACATGACAATCACGATCAACTTAGGCTTTTAGTCCTTGTTTTGACAGTAAGATAAACAAACTATTGAGTTATTCAGACACCAAAACAGCGTGTTGTTGTCCATTCACATTGAGTAGCAGTTAGGAAGAATCACTGGCACCAGTAGGTAAGTAAAACTAGCTTTGGTCAGATAAGAATGTCTGCATTTGACACAAAAATTTACAAAATGAACTGAAATTCAGTTCTGAATTGTGCAGCATGAGAACAGGATTTCCTCCTCATAATTAAGTACTCTTGAATAAAGAATTTTCCTCAAAAACATTTAAAAGGAAACACCCATCAAAATTTTGTCGTGAGCAAAGAAGACTAAAGTTTATTCGTTTCAAGGTATAAGAAGTTCCCTTTCGTTAGTGTTACGAACGCCAAAAAATTTTATCCTTCATAAACTATTATATGGATAGAATTCTGTGAATGGGCGAAAGCAGCCTCATTATCAGATAAAAGTACATTAATTACACTATGGATTTCTCTTTCCTCCATAGCAAATTCCAAGTTTGTCTGACTTCCTTGCGCAATACATTGACAGTTTGGTTCTGTATTGTATTTCCTATGATTACAAAGATCACAAATCCTAAAAAGTCTAAAGCAGTTTTATTTTGATTTAAATAATGTTAGAACATATCAGTCCGTATGATTCTCCTATCCGTATGATAATGTTTACCTAAAGCAACGGATTTTTCGATTACTTGTTTCGTTATACTTTTAAAGAGAAATAAGTACAATGTAGAATTTAAGGAACT